GAGAGAGAGAGAGAGAGAGAGAGAGAGAGAGAGAGAGAGAGAGAGAGAGAGAGAGAGAAGGAAATGGTCGTTTCGTCAATATTTGTATATTTGTACATGTTTTACATTTATTTATATACAAATATCTGCAAACACACATTGGCAATCAATATATCGAACAATATAACAACCAGCAAAAAAAATGAAGAAGAAAAATCCAATCAGCCTCTTATTATTATAATATTGATCATCAGATTATTATTATAACGAAAATAATTCGTTTGTTTTTAAACGAAAATAATTTTTATATATATATTCATCACACATATAATAATGATCCGTAATTTTGTGCTCTGTTTATCTTTCTTTCTTTCTGTTTTCTGTTTTCTTTTTTTTTTTTGGTCTACATTTGCATTCTATATACATACACATATATGTATACAGATGTTCAGATATTTTTAATTTGATCATTTTTTTAAATGAATCTGTAATTAAAAATCTAAACGTATTTTTTGTTGTTGTTGTTGTTGTGCAACTACAATGGCCATGCAAATTTCTTCATTCAGATAATTAATGTTAATGTGGATGGATTGCAATTATAAACCGTGTATATGATCTGATAAAGATCATAGACCTTGTGTGGAGAAATAACAAGCGAGAGAGAGAGAGAGAGAGAGAGAGAGGGGGTGAAAATTTATATTCATCATATGAATGTAAACAAGCGAAACAAAAAAAAAATGCACACCATTTGTGGCACATTAACGTTTGATTTGATTGGTGACATCCTCAATTTGTCCATAATGATGGATTGAGATTTAGCTCTTTATTTTGGCACCTGGTCTGATTGTGTTGACACCCAATTTTTTGTTTTTTTTTTCGTTCATTATAAATGTACCATCCATCATCAAATATGTGATGGAATGATGAGTGTTAAACAAAAATGAAAATTATATTTAATTTTTTTTTATGACTTGTTATTGTCGCCATTGACTCTATTTTTTTTTGTTCTCCATTCAAATCAAGAATAACACTTATCGGAGAATCTAACATTATTATCATTGTTATTGATGTTCAAAAGTCAAAATTAAATTTCAATTTTTTTTTTTTTTTTTTTGGCGGATGGATTTTTTTTTCATCGTCACTGATAACATCTGGTTTGATCCATAATTATGATGATGATGATGATGATGATACCAAAAAGAAAAAAAGAGGCGAACATTGTACTGTTGTTGGTTATTTATCATTAATTTTTTTTCCAATCCGGATTTACACTGAAAAAAAACCGATGATATTACACACACACAAAGATAAGAAACAAAATCATATATCAAATAACAATTATGATTCGTAGAAAATTTTTTTTTTTTTATTGTCATTATTAATTTATCATTTTTGCGTCATCAAATTTATATATTGTTTTTTTTCTTTCTTTCTTTCAGATTTATCATCAGATTCTCAAATAAAGACAGCAAACTTTTTTTTTCCATTTCCAAAAAAAATTTTTTTTTATGATTCTTCTTCGTGCATGTGTAATTTATGATATTTATCATCATCATGATTAACCTACGCTATATGGATCTGTATTTGTGTCCGTTTGTGTTTGTGTGTGTGTGTTTCACAATCAAATTTTTTTTGATTGTGAAACACAAAAAAGTCAATTCTGTTGCCATTCAATTCAATTTATTCAATGAATAAATCTGATGAAAAAAAATTGTTTTCATTTAATTGGAATTTATTAAGAAAAGAAAATTGAATTAGAATAGCCAATGAAGAATTTGAATCAATAAATAGATTTTATTCATTCATTCGTTTTTATTGTATACAATACAATCAGATCTAGTTGGGAAATTTTCTTTTTTTTTTTTTTTTTTTGAATAAAAACGATAATAACTTTTGTATGTTCAGTTGTAACAAGTGTAAATTATTTCAAATTTTATTGACCACACACACACACACACACACACACACACTCACATCAGTTCAACAAGATAGTTATGACCGTTACTTGAGTTTTTTTTCTCCCTTTCTCTCTCTCTCTCTCTCTAGCTAGCTATCTATCTTTGGATGTTCATCGGCCATAAAATATCTTGATCATTCCAAAAAATGCAATGATGCTGAGATTCTTATTAGATGTTAACCAAGAACTAGAAATTTGTTGTTGTTGATGATGATGATAAAACCATGTGGATAAATTCTACTTAATAAACGGGGTGAATGAGGGAATTGGAAACCAAATCTGTGATGAAATTATTCTAGTCAAAATCTTCAAATTACAAATGTTTAGTTTGTTGAACACCAACAGACACTTGAATCATGAAATTTTATTATCATTCATTCATTCATTTCTAATTTTATTTATGTGTTATTCTCATTTTTTTTTATTCAATGTAATGAAATGAGAAAACTTTTTATCAGATTGTATTCTTTGTTGTTGTTATATTTTTATTTTTTTTTTTTCTTCTTCTTGTTGATTATCGGATCATGTGCATCATCTACATTGCTACATGTACATATGTAAATTAATTAATTTTATTCATTTAATGACAATTCATTGATTTAATTGCCATGATAAATTCTAATATTTTTTTTCACTACCATTGTTACCACCATATAATAACAACACACAATCAACAACCAGTAGCCATTAATGGATCATGTTACCAATGTTCAATTCATTGAATTGTTGTTGTGGAAAATAAAAAATTTCTTTGATGTTGACCGAGACTGTAGAAAAAGTAATAATAATTCTTTCTTTGGAAATGTTTTCATTTGGAATTCAAAGAAAATATCCAATATCGCTCTCTGCCTCTCTCATGCTGAAAAAAAACGTGCATAACGGTATTGATTACCATTTTTTTTTAGTTTCGATTTACCAAATTTAGGTCAAACTATTATATAGTTTCAACAAAACAAGATATATTATAAATAGAAGAAATTATCAGTTATGTCTTATTTAGTGTTAAATCTGTACATTGGAGACGATTTTTTTTTGCCGGGTTGCAAAAAAAAACAACTAACAACAAACACCCTTTTTTTCTTTGAAAAAAATTGGGCCATTTTGTTGTTGTTGTTTTTGGGGACCCATATGACTATTTTTTAATGGCTTCGTCTGAAAATCAATGACGGTGGTAATCAATGGGTGATTGAAACGATAACTGTCGTCATTACAATAATAAATGATGAAGCGTGTCCAAATCAATCAATCAATCAATTATAATCAATCACAATCTATATAGTCTATATATTATTTGTACACACAAACATATGGTTTGTTATCGAATTCATGAAATTCGATAACAAACAATTTTTCGTAATGCTAATTGTCCATAAATCTAAATGTATTTAGATTGCTATTTGTCTGTTTGTTTGTTTGTTTGTTGGTTGGTTGGTTGTGTCGATATACATTTGAAAACAAAATTATCGAACCGAAACAAAAAATTTTACGAATTTGATGACAGCTAAATTGATTTGTCTCTTTTTTTCCGTATTAATATATAACTGTTTTGATCCACAATCAATATTTTTAAAACAGGTCATCACAAATCTTTATCATTTAATGCTATACTTTGGTCCATACACACACACACACACATTCTTGATTCCAATCCTATAGGAACAAGCCGACAAATAAACATCAAAAATGGAATGAATCATACAAGTAAATAGCACATATACATTGAACAGATATCATCAGATATGTTTATTGGCATATATACATAAGAGACATATAAATTCGGTATTCGTATACGAATGCAAAAAAATGCACCTTAACACGTTAATGACGATGATGATGATGATCTTTGTTTATTGCCGGTGTCGAACATATAAACAAAAAAAAAACAAAAAGAAAAAAATAATACAAAAGTTGTATATGTTCAAGTAGTAAAAATTTCCATCATCACCATCTATGAAGAAAAACGACGACGACAACAAAAAAAACTAATAAGAAAGAATTCTCTTAGTTGCCTTTTTACCTGCAAAAAAAGATGCTATGTGCCTTCAAGCCATTTTTTTTTGTTGTTTCGTTTGTTTATACATGTTTGTGTGTGTGTGTGTAGTGACGAATGTTTGAATTGACATTACAAAAAAAAATGCCGCAAATGTTTTTATTCGGTATTCGTGTGTGTGTGTGTGTATGTAAAAAAAATTTCACCCACCTTAATACCATCTGCTTACAGTTGTGGTTGTTGCTGTTGTAGTCGTCGTCGTCATCGTCGGTCCATAGGTCCAAAGGTAAAAGAACCTTATTTTATACTGAACAAAAAAGACATGAATATCAAAAATGTTAATGTCTCTATATATCTATATTTCTTTCGTTTTTTTTCTTTTCGGCAATTTCTAATGATGATCGTTATATTATAGAATTTTTGTTTCTTGTTAAAAAAAAAAAAATTATCAACACTACAGTGCTTCCATCTTGGTACTGTGAATCGAATTAAAAAAAGCAACAACAACAACAAAAAGAATTTTTTTTTTCATTTTAAAAAAAAAATCAAAACAAGTTTGAAAAATCCATAGTATATAAAAAGAAAAATTTGAAATTTTTATCAATTGATCGATTATTATTATTATCATTTTTTTTGTTTGTTTGTTTGTTTGTTATGTAACCACAATAAATATTATAAAAAATTCAACTTCAACATAAAAAAACAATGACTGAATAATTGATTGATTGCTATGAAAGGATTGAAAAAAAACCGGAATGACAAAATAACCGGTATGAAAAGATTGCAATGATGCTGATGATGATAAAGAATGACTATGTTTAAATGTTATAAACGAAAACAAAAAATCAGAACACAGAGGTCGAGATAGATGAAATAAGATGAATTTTGAGAAAAAAAATGTCTGCAATTCATTGAATTTGATAATGATTATTATTGGAAACGAGGTAACCACATAATTGATGGAATTTAAGTTTAGAGAATTACAAATTGTTGTTACCTAATCATGTAATTATTGAATCAATATATTTGTATATATGTGCGTATGACAATGTTGTCGATGTTGGATGAAATCACAATAAAGATTGATGATGAAAAAAATGATTAATAATGAAATACTCATATAAAGAGTTGACTTTTTGTTCATTGATAATAAGCATAGTATGAAGATGGCTCATACAATGTATTCGAAATTAATTGTTGTTGATTTGATAATGGTGATGAATAGATTTGGTATTCATTCCAAACATTTTGATATGGATATGAAGAATTAATTGCATCACATGGAATCGTAATTGATTGTTGCCATGAATTGATTGACAATAATGGCCGCTTTTGATATGATGAAATTTTTGTTTCTTCCGAATGATCATAATGTAAAATCACATTAGAACCACATGATGAATGTTGTGATGATGATGATGATGATGATGATGATAATGATTTGATGATGTTATTGACTATCATAGACTTATTCATAATACCAGATTCAATTGATTCATTGTATATTATTGGCGTTTTATTCAAAATACATAAGCGATAATTTTTCGGTGGTGAGAATGGAATTTGTGAAAATTTATCAATAGTAATGTTTGAATAGGAAAAATCCACAGGAAACAATGAATCTGGCAAACGTTTTGTCAATATTTCATTGGATTGATATTCATAAATGAAATTTTGTATCGAATTGAATGAAGAACATTGATCAATAAATAGATTGGAATTACATTCTATTTCATGTTGATAAATGTTTTCATTATTCAATTTATAAAACATATGATCCATTTTATACAATGTACTATACGATATTATGTAATGATTTAAATGTTCATGTTTTGAATGTAGATTGTTTGCATTGATTGAATGGAATATTTTGGCTGGCAAAAGTGCAAATGAATATCCACCGAATTTTGGATAAATATTATCATGACATTTGATAAAATTTATGAGATTTTGTTGCCGTTTCAGCTTTGATATGTTTGGTTGTATGTTATCGAAAACAAATGTAACGAGAATCGGACGAGTAGTTTGATTTGAAACCACAAGCTCTTTGTTAAGACACTGATTAACAGAATCGTATCCATTAACAGGTTTTTCATTTGTTAAATGTTGATCGAAAAATTGATGATTATCAATAAATTCTCGAAGTAAAGTGCAAAAGCAAATAGTCGTAATTTCCATGTATTTTTTTATTATCTTTTTTTGATTAAAATTTTTTTTCAATGACCGTTTCAAAACCGAACAGAAAATCGTCAAAAAATGATATTTCGACATGGTATCGTTTCCAAAATGAGTGAGCAAATAATTACATAATTTGTCACGTTGACATTCGAAATAAGTGAAATCAATAAAAAATCGTGATACCATATAAGGTTCTAATTTTTTCATCGTTTCATGACACAGAGGCTTAAAATCACGAACTAAAAGGAAACAATATTTGAATAAACCACCGCCACGAATTTTTTCAGGAGAATTCGTAACAATAAACTTGTTATTAAGATGATATATAGCTTCGTGATAGTCACCAAAAACGCTTTCGCAGATAATTGTGTCAGCAATACATGGATCATCTAAAACATTATCCAATATAATTTGAAAAGAATCGACACTAAATTCATATTGTCGACGAATTTTATCAACAAATTTGATTTCAATAGTACATCCTTTAAAGTTCTTGATGCTGAATAATGACCAACGTGTATCATTGTCGGAAATTTTAACCATTTTGGTTAATACTTGTTCTCTTATAAGACGAATATCAGGCTCTAAAATGTTTGGTGCACAAATGTCCAATAAAAGTTTAAAAATACTTTTACGAATCGACTCAAAATACGATTCATTTTGAAGATTTACATTGAAAATGATATCAATATCATTGTAAATGGTTTTGTTTCTATTATTTAAAACATATGACGCTGCACCGCCATTAAGACGTATATCACGATAAGTAATATTGTTTTCAGTCAAACGTTGTCCAATTATTTGTAAAAAAATATGCAATGGATAGGCGCAATAATTCGTTATTTTTTTGTCAAAAGATGTTTCGGAATCAAAATCGACGATCAAAGACATTTCTTTTTTAAGGATTTTCTTCAATCGTTTTGTTTGTCTTGGATTCAAAATACCAAAACGTTTATCACGTAAATCGAAAGTTTGATGATTGATTGAAATTAATTGTCTGTCGGTTGATTCACAATCATTTTCAAATGGAATAATTTGAGAGAACATGATTCATCTTCGGCGATCGCATCGCTATCCTTCATTGAATCCATATTTATAATCAAGAAGAATCAATGATATTTGGTTTGCAGCAAACCTAAAGATGAAATAAAAAGAAAATATAATTAAAAAAAATGACAAAATATTAGAACAAGTTCAAACCAGTTAAAAATTTTGCTTCTTATGTATGTAGAAAATAATTTGCTAAATGTACGAAAAAATATCATAAATTTTTGATCAAAAAAAAAAAAAAAAATGGTACACGATATAATAGATATGAATTTTTGAGGTAATTGTATCAAATCAAATCAAATGAAGATGATGATTAAAGCAAATTACTGTTGCAAAAAAACGAGAGCAAAAATTCGAACCATTGAACAAAAGTGATCACATAAAGACTAGTGGAATAATAATAAACACAACAATTTAGTTACCATTCAGTAAAAAACACTACAAATGTTGAAATGTTGACATTGTTTTCAATATCATTATTCCATTATGGAAATATTGAAATAAAAACGATAAACTGAAAACCAATATATATTGGCTATTTTCGAAAACCTGCTACAATATATAATGTGTGACACATGAGAATATACACATGATGAACAACAACAACAACAACAAGTGGCTACAGTAAAACCGCTAAAATCGATACAATCGATAGTGGCTATTGCTGTAACTCTATTCATATATTTTCATTTTAACAAACAATCTATATATGTGGCATTTGCTTTGCAAAAAAAAAAAAAAATTATGGTGATAATGAATTAAAACTATCATCATGATGATGAGATGATGATTCGTCAATTTGTCAGCAATAATAAAAAGCAACACACATATATAAATCTTTTTTGATTCAATTTGATTATGATGGTTGTGTGTGTGTGTGTGTGTGTGTATGTGTGTATGATTATCGTCATTATCATCACCATGTAATGTGATTATCTATATAATAATCATTGTAAAAATATCATATGCCAAAGCGTTTGGAAATTATTTTTCATAAAAAGTTTCTCATTTCAATGAATAAAAGAAACAATGAAAATTATTAAACAAAACAAAACAAAAAAATCGAGTAAATTAATTCAGATTTTGGGCTGCTGTTTAATAAATTTTAAAACAAACAAACAAAAAAAAGAATTTTCATTCAATCAAATCATTTCAACCAATAAATCAAATCAAATCATCATCATCATCATGATCGTATGACAAAAAAAATCATTTTAACTACATTGTAACTATAGTTATGATGACAACGATCATTAATGATGATGATGATGATGACGATGATGATGATTGTTACCTAGAATTTTCATTGACATTTAAAAGGAAAAAAAATTGAAATTTCATTTCGAAATATAAACAAAAAAAAAACTTTTTTTCTATTGTATTTAATTTCATTGAATGATATTCAAAGTATCTTTTCATATTCATTATCATTATGGTGATGGCAGTGATTATAACAGTTTTTTTTTCTATCAATGATAATTTGCTATGTGCTCATTAGAATCAAAAAAAAAAAAAAAAGGATTTAATCAGGTATATAAATGCTAATGATGATGATGATGATGATGAGGGTTTTTTCGACGCCATACATATGCAACAGGTATACTAGGTTACGAAAACGGAACCTAGAAATGCGCAAATTAAATTAAATTAATTTTTTTTTTTTTTTTTTGTAGATATATGGATTTGACAATCGTACAAGTATTTTGGGCGATTTCCAATTTATAAATTTGATTTAAAAGTACAAATGTTGTTGTCGTTGTTGTTGTTGTCATCGATGATGATGATGATGATGTTTATTATTATTGATAAATCATACATTCGATCTCGAAAAATGGTGGATTGAAAAATGGCGGAAAATCCCGAAAAAACAAAAATAATTTTTCTCAATTCATTATTTTGTTGTGGAAAATGTAGAAAAAAAGAACGAACGGTGTGCACACACACACACACACACACACACACACATATCAATAAAATGAAAAAAAAAAAAAATTTTTAATGGTCAGTTTTAGTTTTTAGTACATTTTACAGTACATTTTATTATTATTTTGATATTTCTGTCCAAGGATATTTCTGGACAAGTATCCATAAACAACAATTATCATTTTTGTATCACATTTATCTAAATGAATGTGTGTGTGTGTGTGTGTGTGCACTGAAATTTGAAAATATTTATCATCAAAATACATTAAATGAATAAAGGTGGGTATATATTAATATATATACAAACAGGCCATTGATATCTCTATATATGAATGAGAAACAATCATCATAATCATCATCATCATAAAAGCTTCATATCATCATCATCATCATCATTATTTCACAGGTTTTTTTTGTGAAGAAAAAACAATTTTTTTTTAATCAAAATGTTTATTATTCTTTGTTTTGATTTCTTGTTTTTTTTATATATAAATATTTTTTTTTCTATATCAAATTTCACAGGCATTTCCAGGAATAATTGATTGATTGATTGATTGATTTGATTGATTGGTCATTCATTCTAAATGATAATGATTCTGGGAATATAATGGAAACAAAACAAAAAACAGAAAAAATTGAATCAATTTAAACTATCAACAATATAAATATATCCAAAAGCGATAATAATAATGATTTTTGATGATAAATAATTGATATGTCTGTGTGTGTGTGTGTGTGTGTGAATTCCATCAATCAATGATTGTGGGAGCAATCATTTGATATTTATTTTTTTTTTTTCGTTACATTTCCATTGAAATGAAAATCAAATATAGAAAAAAATGTGTGGAAAAAATCAATTTATCGTATCGTATCGTATATATAATGACCAATCATTTTTAGCCTCACCTTTTTTGTGGGGCACACACACACACACACACATGAAATCTGATGCAAAATGATAAATGAAAACAAGAAAAATTCAATGATAAAATAGAAAATTATCAATTTTTTTTTGATTGATTGATTGATACATATAATTCAGTGATTCATCCATAGTGGGATTTTGACAAAATCAATGGGAAATTATATTCGCGAAAGTGAAAAAAAAATTAGAACAAATTTCATTACTCATGGCTACTGAATTCAGGATTTTATTTGTATTGCAACAAAGAAACATAGAAATTTCGGGAAAATTCTTTTCAACATTTCTGTTTCTCATCATCATCATCATTATTATTATTGATAAAATGATGAAATTTCATTTCCTTTCCCGATTCTTTTTTTTTTTTTTCTTCCATCATCATCACCATTTTTTTTTTTTTTTATTGGTGATAAATATGAAATAAAATAGAATTCAAATCGATTGCAATCCCTGATTGTCAACGAAAGTAATTTTTTTTTTTTTTTTTTTTTTTTTGATTGAAAAATATATTACAATTGTTGACAGCTTGTCTCTCTGTCTATGAGTGAATGAGCGTTTGAATTATTTTCAAATTGTACTGAAATGAGTTGAAATGAAAACATTACGGAAATCCCCGTAAGCGACACGAACACACACACACAGAGAGAGAGAGAGAAAGAGAACAATTGAATAAAACACTCATATACGATGATGATGATGATGATGATGATAGCATAGAAACAACAAAAACAAAAATAGAGGTAAAAAAAATTATGATTCTTTTAACCAATATCAATCATCAATGTATTTTTATTTAACATTTCAATAAATAAATAAATATTTAAATTGAATTCCTGTGTTTTTGTTGTTGTTGTTGTTGTTGTTATTGTTGTTGTTGTTGTTGTTGTTGTAAACATTTAACAACTCTTTTGGATGTCCATTCACATGATGATAAGATTGGTGAATGAATCGATTAATTAATATCATCTGTTTATTCAAAAGTATTTGCTTGTTTACAATCATCATCATCATTAAATTAATTTGTTATAATACACACACACACATATATACACACATACACGCACACGAATTATAACGAATCATCATCTTTTTCATAATATGAAAAATATATATAAGGATTCAGTGGGTGAATGATGATTTCGATGAAAATAACAACCAAAATAACGAAAAAAAAAGAAAAAATAATGACATTAACGAAAACAGCAACAACAACAACAACAACAACGACGACGAATCAAAGTAAAAATTAAAAAAATATTGACCCGATTTTTTCAATAGAATTTTCGACTTTTTTCCATTTTTAGCTCTTCATTCTATATTCATTAAGTATTTGTTTATGTTTATCATAAGCTTAGAATTTTCTTTAGAATTCAAGAATGTTTTTGATGATTTTTAAATTAAAGTGTTTATATTTATATATATGGAGATAGAATAATAATTAATACGAACAATTTCAGTAAATTCGATGATTCGGGTGATTGAATTCCTTACTCCAAGAAATGACTGTAACTGCAACGAAATGCCGATTTGAAAAAAGTGTTTTGATTTTTAATAAAACTAGAACCAAACAAAACAAAACAAAACAAAAAATTGTTGTTGAAATTAATGACAAAAATTTAAGTTCCAACTGCGAAATATGACGTTATTCAATGGAGATAGAAAAATAATAATTCGTATGATGAACATGATTATCACCATCAACCGGAAACTAGAACCAAACAAAACACCATTAATTCTGGCCATATTATTCGGAATACAAAATCCTAATAAATTTCCTTTATTTTTTTCAGCATAATAAGCCAATTAAAATCAGTCAGTTACTTTACGGACGCCCTGTATATGGAGAGAGCCGGAAGAAATTAATGACAAAAAATTTAATTCCCATATTATTCGGTTTTTCAGCATAATAAGCCAAGAGAGAGAGAGAGAGAGAGAGAGAGAATTCCAACCACGCAAATGATGGAGAAAAATTCTGTTTTGTTTTTTTTTCATATACATATGGATCAAATTACCAATTGAGCTGAATTGAGTGATTCGAGTTGCTGATAGCTTACTAGTTTATTATATGAGAAAATTGAAAAAATTTACTTACTTTTTTTTCGATGATAGTTGGCTATGTTGATGTTTTTTGTTTTGTTTTGTTTTCGATGAGATAGAAAAAATTAACAAAGAAAAAAAAATATGTGGAATATGAAAAAAAAGTTAGTTGATCGACAAATGAAATGGATTCCCATTTAAAGTTAACGAATGTATCAAAATAAAGGAAATGTTATATATATATTAATTTAATTGATGATTAAAAAAAACTTTTTTTTTGTCTGTTAATCGATATGTGTGTGTGTGTGTGTGTATGCATATCAATCAAAAATGATTGTCAAATGTCATTTGGATATATTTTGTTGTCTCTATTTGGTGAGAGAAAAAAAATATATATATCTGAATATATCTATAGATGCAATGTTCTATTTGATTGATTGATCTGATTGAATTGATGATCGACAACATATGTATATGTATATGTATGCAAGTATAGATTGTATAATTTGAATAAAAACAACAACAACAAAAAAAAGATCGCGGCTTTTTTTCAATTTGTTTTTTTCAGAATCATCAGAATATTATTTTCTTTCTCTATGTCACACACAAAATTAAATTCGATTTCAATTCAATTCAATTCTTCTGTATATGTTATACATATATATATATATATGTGTGTATGTATGTGAATGATTTTTTTTTTTTTTGGACAAACAACCACCACCACCACACATATACACACACACAAAAACAGCCAACAGCAATAAAATATTTGATGATGATGATGATGAATCCGCATGCGTTTATTACTGTTTTGTTTGTTTGGTAGCCTATTCGATTCGTTTGTTTTTGTATTCATCAAACTTTTTTCATTTATTCTTTACCTCTACCAATTTTCATCTGCTTAAATTTTTTTTTTTTTTGATTACATCTACATCTCATTAATATTACCCATTCATGTAAATGCATGTTGCATACATCTACATTGTGTACGTGTGTGTGTGCATTTGCTTGTATTTTACCAATATATTGTGATTGATGCTGAATCAACCACAACCACAACCACAACTGCTACCACTGCTACCACCACCACCACTATCATCATCATCATTATCATTGCCAGCGTCGGCATTATCATCATCATATAAAAATTTGATAATTTTTTCCATTTTATAAAATTTAAAAAATGTAAATTCTATAGAATGATTCAAAAAAAATTCTCGATAAATTCAACAATCAACACAAAAACGTTTTATGTTTGATTTTTCTATTGTTTATTTTTATCCGGGTAAAATTATTATCATCAGTTGTTGTTGTTATTGAAAATTATGTTTGAGAAATCTGAAAAAAATAGAAACAAACACAAACACACACCTACATAGGAAAATATATGGTTTTCTCACTAACAAGATATTCTGTTTGTTTGTTTTCAATAATGATGATGGATGGATATAGATGTTTATTGTTCTGTTATCATGTTATGAAAAATTCTCATACGCATGTGTATCGATTTTGATAATTATCAATAAATGACGTAATCAATGTTTGTTTGGAATCTCTGTTGTTGGCGCCACGTTGGCCAATTACACAAACAGACATCACATATATCTGTCCAAAATCTTTTTGAATCAATTTGAATTATATTCTGTTATTATATAAATAAATATATATAAATGGTTATAATCCATATCCATATATATATATATAAAATTTATAATTGAAATCAAAATTCATGTTTCATCCAATAATAATAATCTGATTTATTATCCATATATACGATGACCATAAGGAATGCTATTTTGTGATTTCATTATTATTTGTTAATTTTGGGATTTCTAGTGAATGGGATAAATCTTCTTCAAGTTGCTATGATCTGTTCGGATTATAAATTCATTTCCAGTACAACAATAATGATGCCAATCGCTTGTTAAAGCTTCAATAATTGCTAAACACTCTTCAATCAAAGTTATTGAATAATTTTCATTGATATGTAACTTTTTCTGAAAACATCCACTGTTACCATAGCGTTGTTCTCATGACTAGTTCAGTCTTACTTTTGTTTCAACACAGCTCCTATTCCAATATCTTGATGCGTCGAAGTTATCAAGATGGATACATTTCTGTATAATCAAATGGATATGGTAATGATTTCTCGTAGATCTATATGTATTTCTAATCAGTTTCTAATATGAAACGCAATAGAAAACATCGCGCATCTTATGGATTCATTGACCCTTCGTTACTTGAACTGGTTTATCACATTTTCTTGGTATATAATCTTGATGACAATGGAGCCAATAGCCCAGTTCATATTTAATAAATCTTTGATAGAAATTCACCTCCAATGAATCGCAACTTTTTAGGATTATGTTGGTATGTAACATAGTTGTCATGGATTGAGTAATGTTACTATATAGGTGGCTCTATTTGCTGGTGTACTGATTTTATGTCCCATAATATTTATGTTCTGTAGATAGCAAATACGACTCAATGGTTTGAGACCCCTAGAATGAATATTGAATCTCCCATGCTATTTCAGAAAAGGGTTTAGTGAAAGTATTTTCAAGATGTTGCACTTGACATAATTCAGGTCAATGCGTCAAGACAAATTAGATATACCGTTAATTTGATCCGAAACTATATCATTACAATCTGCAATTATGTATATAAACTAATAATCCAGTTTCCAACACGATCTTTACCTTCTAAAGAACATAAATACATTCGTTGAGCTTTCTTCCTCATCTTTTCTGTTTGCTGGTACACTTGATTCCAGACTTAGCCTTTTCACAATGGATGTGCTCATGTTTGTTGCAAACATTATAAGTTAACATATTCATATGAAGTTCATTCAAGACCAAATAGGTTTTATCTAATTTTTCTCACATCAATTAATTTCCTGATTGTCACAGTCGGTACAATGAATACATTATTAACTTCTGAGAACTCAACAGAATCATAAATGAAAAAAAAATATCTGGAGTAGAGAAATGCATTCAGTTTTTTATCCACCTTGAATTAAGTTTAAAACCAATCAGAGTTCTCAATGTTTTTCCATAGTTATTTTTATTCAACTGTTGGCTCTGCAAATAATGAAAAGTCAAACTGATGGTTCAACTGGGTGCAATTTCATTTTCAATTTGTTTTTCTTGACCTTAGTTGTTGATAATCACCGGTCTTGGTTTTAAAATCATTATATTCAAATTTATGCCATTAACAATTTATCAAATTTCGCCATTATCTGTACCAATACATCATTTACTTGTATTTTGAAAACGATATGCTTGTACTGAAGGCTCAAGATTCTTCTCTTTCAAAATTGATGATTCCAAAATGAAAATCTTCTTCATCAAATTTCTTCTATTTTTCTGAAATTCATTTTATTCTAATTTCAATGCATTTTGCCATATGATGTTTAACATCTATTATGTCATTCAATTATCATTTGTTAATTTTTGGGAATTAAGATAAAATGTAGAAAAGATCTCTCTTGAATTTCTCCAATCTCAATCTGCTTGTTTCCGCTTAGATGAATATGGTTCAATTGGAATATTTAACATGATCATGAATTTAAGATCAAATTTTGATTCAATCTTACCGGAAAACAATCTTCAACTGGTTCCGATCAACCAGATTTAATTTAAGCCGAATAGTTCTTTCCTTGCTTTTATAAATGGATGTGGGTGAAGAAAGTCTTTGAGTCTCAAAGTGAATGGCAAATTCTAAACGGGCAATTATGGCGTGAAAATTTGAAGACGAATCAAAAATTATCGCATAATATCTAAAAAATCAAAAGAAAAGACTTTTTTAGTCTGGAATGTTAATTTTAAGTCTTTAATTTTTATTTAGATATATTTTCATTGGAAAATATCATACACAAAAATCGGATATATTTATAACATCAAATGAAGATTTTTTTTTCTTTTCTAATCTGAATCAATGAAAAGATTCTGTTATTATTATTATTATTATTATTTTTTATTTTCGTGACACCTACATATATATTATATATTATTTATTTAATCGATTTAGAATTCATCCCACAACATCCGGAATTTATATTCATATTGATGATTGATCAATCAATCATCAATATGAATTTATTTTTCTTTTATTTTGATAATTTCATTTGTTTCATTTGTGAATAAATGAAACAAAAAAAAATCCATAAAATTTGGATTTGGATGACAATTAGTGGAAAAAAAAAGTTTACAAATTACAATGAATTAAAAAATTTAAAAGAATAAATCCAAAATAAAAATATATACGTCATAACCGGTTCTTTGGTGTAGTAAATCTCATTATTTCGATGAATCTGATTCAAAACAAAACAAAACAAAAATTCTGGATTCACTCATAGCATAAACACCAACGCCCATATATATAGATGTGTGGTTATTATTAGCGGTTACATCATTGTGTGTGTGTGATAAAAATAAATCTGGTCTATATTACAATTACAATATAATTCAATCAATGTAAGTGATGAAAAATTGGTGAATTCATCGCTCCGTGTTTAGAATGAATTCACTCAGACACATCAACACAAGAGAGAGAGAGAGAGCGACTGACATCAGCAGACAGAGGAAAAAAAATATTCGTCATATACCAATTGATATCAGATACGTATCTGTGACGTATGAATCCAAAATGATGATGGTGATGACGACAAAATAAAGAAAATGAACGATAATTCCAATACGAATATTTCACTTCACTATAATTCGTATAAAGAGGATAGAAAATTGATCCCATCAAATTCTGTTTTTTTGTTTCCTTTATACATTGTATAAATTGTTAAAAAAAATTCAGTGAATGGATCATAAAACATAAGTCTGTCAACTAAATGTCCATATTCACCCTCTTTACAGAATTGAATTCAAAGAATTAACTCATCCACTCATAATAATCGTTGTCTTTTTTTTTATTATTAAAAAATCTTCTACGATTATATTGCTATAGGGATTTTACTGACGTAGATGTTGAGTTTTTATTTCCCTGTTTTTTGTTTTGTTTTAATCTTTCAATAGTTACGTATTCATTCATTCATTCAGAGTTGTAATGATCATAATGGCAAATGATGATGATTGTACATTTACAATAAATTCGTGAAATTTGTATTTTTGATGTGTGGAAAATTAATTTCCAAAAAAATTGAATTACATTGTAACTATCTATATATAATGTTCATTAATGAAAGGAGAATGAGGGCAATAATTTTTCATATGTATATATTTATTCTATACATTCAATTTTATTAATATATTGGTATTATAATTTGGATTCTAATGGTGATGTGGAACACTTGGAACTATTGTGTGTGTGCTAGTGTAGTGATGAAAATTCCAGAAAATAGAGAATATCATCTCGATATATTGTTCTAGCAGCTCCTTTGTATGTGTATGTGTGTGTTTATCGTTTTTGTAATGAAAACAAAAAATGATGATGATTAAATAACCGAAAATGGGTTTTATTTAATTTCTTTTCCCTGATGACGTAAAATACATATGAAATATTGTTTCGGATAAGGTTTTTTTCCAAATATTTTAACATTGTTTTGTTTTTGTTTTCGGCAAAAAAAAAAAAAAATATTCCGAAAAATTCAATCACAAAATATGAATGAAAAACAACAGGTGTTACAGCACTATTACAGGTATATACGACAAATAATCATCTTCTTGTGTTTGACATTTTTTTTTTTACTCATTCATATCTGATTATCATTATCTACATATTTTATCTAATTTTTTTCTCATTAGATTGCTATTTTTGAATATTACAAAATAAAGTGAAAAAAAAATTTGTTCACAATATCGTTCAGAAATGAAATGAAAAATTGTTTTTCTTCACTATAGCTTTGCCATTGGATGATGACATGAGGAAAATTTCTTTTCATTTCCATATGATTTTTTTTGGGCCAATTTTTCAATCAACAACACCAACAAAGACGGTAACGGTTCAACAAATAACGGTAACGGTTTTTTTCAATTTCCAGTTTACCTGAATGAGAAAAAAAAATTGATAATAAAATAAAAACTGTTTCAAATTTGTCACTGAACATGTATATATGCAAATTATTTATAAAAGTCAAATGTTAATTAGTATCATTATCATTAGTTATGGTGGATAAAATATTCGAAATCAATCAACTCATGACACACACACACACAAAAAAAATTTTTACCGATAATTTTTGTTTGCAAAGTTAAAATGTATCAACAAGACAATGAGATGATGATAATAAAAAAAAATATACCCATTTTATTTGTAGATGAAGCACATGGATAGAAATGAAAAGCAAAAAACAAAAAACGGAAGGATAATTGGACTCTACAATCATCATTTCTATTTTATTTTAAACATTCATTTTTCTCATTTATTTTGTTAACATTTGTTGACAATCCTGGTCTTGGAGCAGCAATTATATTGAACAAAACTTAAAATGATATTCATTCAAATGGATATATAAATACGATTGTTTTGGCTAAATGTTGAGCTCATTTTTTTTTCTCTTCACCAACCACATGTATATTGTCTTTGTTGTTGATTATCATCAGCATTATTGATGTGTTTTTTTTTTGTTAACAACAAATATCATCATGAAACAGGTATGTTTTCATCATCATTGTTGGATATTTTAAATTCAAATTCAATTAAAATTTATAAAGATTAAAATTGTGTCCACAATATATTGTCATTTATTGTTGTTATCAATATCGTTATGTTGGCCATCAATAATTGACGCTAAATATCTTGATACTGAACCAGAAGATCAATTACAACAACAACAACCACAACAACAACATCAACAACATACATCAGCACAGAAACAGCATCAAAAAGTGATATTTAAACCATTACAATTGAATGATTATCATGCTAAACAATTGATGAAACAATCAATTGATGCACAATATTCAAACAATAATAACAATCTGGATCAATATGCAAAACCAAGCGATGAATATATTAAAGTGGCCGAAGATTATGATAAAGAATCTGTCAAGGTATATTTTTTCGTTTAAAGTGGTAACAAAATTAAATCAATTTGATGATTTTTTTTAGCACGAAGATAAACATTCCTATTCACATCAACCATATGGTTTTGGTTATAATATTGAAGGTATTTGAATTTGAAATTTCAAAAAAAACAAAATTAAATGAATATATAAAAATGAAATTCAAATTTAAAAAAATATTTCATTCCATCACTAATAGATGGCTATGGTAATAAACAATGGCGTCATGAAAAAAGTTCCAATCCACATCAGGTAATTGGTTCGTATGGATATAAAGATAAGAATGGTATATTACGTGAAGTTGAATATGTGGCCGATAAATATGGATTCCGTGCTGTGATTAAAACAACCGAACCTGGAACTGCTAATAGTGATCCAGCATATGTAAAAATGAATTCCAATCCAATTTCGGTTGATTATTATCCGACCAATGGAGCCACCGAAGGATATTCATCAACACCCGTTAAAACAAAAGAATTACCTGCTTATCAAGAACAGCAATTAGTTGCTGCAGGTTATAAACAACATCAATCATCACCAACATTATATCATACTGAACCACAACATGTACAAGAGCCAGCATTTCTGGTTGCTGCATATGGTGGTGGTAGTGGTGGTGGTGGTGATAATGGACAAAAAGCAAACAGTCCATCCGTTTCATTAGGACCATATGTAGGCAATGATTATCTAGTTGGTCCAGAATCCAATCATATCCATCATACATCAGATAAACATTAGAAAAATAAAAACATGTTTTTTTTCGCGTGTGTGTTTTACAGTGTATTTTTTTCCATTATTAGTATTGGTTTAATTTCACAAAAAAAAATGATAATAAAATAAAAATGAATGAAAAAAAAAAAAAAAAGAAAACAAAATAAAAATTGTCGAGAATTTGTTTGTCGTTATATATGGCACATGATAATGGTAAATGAATTAAGGTAATTAATTAATGATAATGAATCCATAATAGAATTCATGTGTGAGTAGAATATAAATTATTGTTTCGTATATAAAATGTTTGAGCAAGCGAAAATAAAAATTAGAAAAATGTCGAACAAATGTTACCCATTACAGGGAGTGTGTGTGGAGGGAATGAAAATTATTTGTTCACAGAAATGAGATTTAGTTAATTTGAATTGAATGATGATTAAAATGGATAGAATTTATATTCAATAAAGGCCAATTTCACGTAGATTATTTTTCAATATTACATCGGTGACAGCATCGAATACAAATTGTATGTTATTCGTATCGGTTGCACATGTAAAATGTGTATAAATATCTTTAGTATCTGAATTACGATTTAATGTTTCAAATTTCATCTGTATGTAAGCGGCTGCCTCATCATATGTGTTTCGTCCTATTTTTTTTTTTTTTTTTGGCAAGATTAGGTGGTAAATGAAAAGAGAAAATTGAAAAATTTATTCATTGATATCCATTCATATAATTATATACCTGTATATTCGGGAAAACAAATATTTAATGGTGATGTTTTGATTTTCTGTTCAAATAGATCTTTTTTATTCAAAAACAGAATCATTGATGTATCGAAAAACCATTTATTATTACAGATTGAATCGAATAAACGAAGACTTTCGTGCATACGATTCTATAGAATGGAGAAAAAAAATTATTATCAAAAGTTATTAAAATTTCATCATTTCAAAACACTTACAACTTCATCATCTTCGGTTAATAATAAATCATAGCCAGATAATGCAACACAGAATACAACAGCTGTCACATCTTCGAAACAATGTATCCATTTTTTACGTTCAGAACGTTGACCACCAACATCGAATATACTAAATAAATAGCGTGTGTATTTTTTTTTTATTAGAAATTTTATGAGAAAAAAAATTTTCATCCATTCATTTACCGGAAAAATAATCCTTTAAAACGGAATGAAATTTCAACAATACCGGTCGTTTTTACACGTGTACGTAATACATCCTGTTGTGTTGGACAATAATCCGGTTGACATAAACGATCTAATGAATTTAAATAGCTGAAATTTAAAAAAAATGGAATTTATTTTCAAATATAAGAAAAAAACATTCGTTTCAACAACAATCATGTTGATAAATATATATTATACTTACTAATATGCTGAATCATTAAGTTGATATTCACGTGATCGATGATAACATGATTGTACACCGGGATCAAGCCATAATTTTTTCATAATCACAGCTAATTCCATTGTAATAATTGGTGCCATATGATTTGATTGTGGATAATCAAAATATTGTGCAACTAATTGATATGATTCTGTATTTGTAAAATTTATTTTTAAAAAATTCATTGCATCCAATATAGCCGACAAGCTTTGTATGGCATTCGCATATATAACACGACGATATTTATAACATTCTTCTTTATTGTATCCATTTTCATGAATTATTCTGGTGGATGATTTTTATTATTGAAAAATTTTCATTTCATTTTTTTTTTATTAATTTTCAAATAACTTACTTTAATTGTTTCAATATAGTACTTTTACCAGATTCACCAGCACCCAATAATAATAATTTAACTTCACGTGATTGTCGTTCACGATCGGCACGAATTGTTTTATCAATAGCTTTGGATCTAGCCAAAGCATCTTTGTCTAATGTACTAAGCGTACAACCCATGATGTTTTCTTTTTCGTTATTATTATTATTATTATTAATTACACAAGATAATGATGATGTGATTGTCAGTTTATTAGTTTCAATAATGAATATTCTAAATGAAAAATGAAAAAAAAAATATTAATCAATAACGATTCAAGATGATCATACAATATTTGACCATTCAACATCAATGACAACTTCGTTATCCATCATCATATTTGCAAAAATTCTGCAAAATGTTGAAATTTTCTCAAAATAAACCATGCACATACAGAGAAAAAGTAAACAAAAATTCTAGGACATTATTCAATCAAACAGTGATGAACAAAAAAAATTAAGCAAAAAACCAATAACTAATTAATGAATGAATGAATGAAACGATTAAAAAAAAAAAAAAAATGAACGAAACGCACAACGACCGACAAATGAAGCTGAAAAAAATGACAAGTTTTAATCAGGAAAAACAACCAATCGAATAGAAATAAATTTATATAATAAACGACAAAAAGGAACAGGATGATGATCAATAATGAAATATATATATCGACAAATATAATTGAAAAGGACATGGCCATTGGCCATTAATGAACAAAAAAAAAAGAAAATGTGCATAAAAAATATATGAAATGATGGCAACAACAAACAGTTTTAAAATCATATCATATGATGAATTATAAATTAAAATCTAGCTTACTGTTTTACTGAAGAATCGAATCCGATTAATGCTGAATAGATGTTCGATTTCGGATAATTTTTTTTTCACCAAAGTAATAACAGAATTCAATTCATTTGTAATCATCAAACAAGTGTGTGCGTGTATTGTTATGTTGAAAAAAAGGTTGTCGCCGTGGACCTTGGACCAAATTGGACAAATAAATCAATCAGACAAAGAAATCTTTACAATAATTAGAAAAAATGCCGATAGAAACACGTCGTAATGAGCGCCAAAAAAATAAAAAATCGTTGAAATGATTATATATCAGCTTGCTTGGCTGAGCGCAGTTCGTTTCATTTCGGTTGATTTTGTTTCGTTTCGTTTGAATTATCATCACACACACACACACATTGGTTTCACAACACGGTAGCTTGCCGCTAGCAAAAAAAAATCAAATCAGACAGCTGGCTTTTTATAAGTCATTCATGAATCACAACAGTAGTAGCGCGCGTGTTTGATTCAAATAACAAAGAAAGAGAGAGAGAAAATTCAACGGATTTTTTCTCAACCAAATATAACCAGCGCTACTGTGCTGCCAATTATACCACTATTATTGGCCGTTGATGATTTGAATGAAATATAACAACAACACACTATTGCTGCCATCTTGTGATGGATTTTCAAATTCCAGATGTATTCGAATTTTTTTTAAATAATTCTCTTCGATCCATTTTATTTTTTTAATCCATTCGATAAATTGGAAACATAATAAACACAAAAAATTATTATATTAAAATCTAATAAATATATTGTGAATTGTGTGTGTATTCAGTATGACGCTGAAGACAGGTGTGGATTAAAAAGAATGATTTATAATAAATAGCCGATAAAAAATGTTGATGAATGTATTCATGGTATGTGCCTATAGTTTTGTTTTTTTTTTTTTTTTGTCGCTGAATATGATAATTTTTAGTGAAAAAAAAGTTGCATTACAATTGATTTAGATTTTGAAAATTTTGTCTGGATAAATATTTTTATCGGAATAAATATTTTGTTTTGTATTGTTGTTGTTGTTTTTTTTTTTTTTTGATTGTTCCAATTTTTGTCGGTTTTTTTTCGCCATCTTTATTCATTCATCATTGATGATGATTTATTATCATTGATGCTTACGGTGATGATGATGATGATGATGATGATCAAATGTAATGATTTCATGAATCGATTAATGTCCCAATGCTTGTGGTACGTTCAGGTATTTTTTAGGAAATTTACATGAACTCAATCGGCATTGACATACTTCTGGATCAATACGAATACGTTTACAATATTCTTTACATTGTTTATCAGAACCATTACGGATACATTCATGACCAGGTGAGAACCAATAGTTGAAATATTCACCAGTTGCTGAATTTCCGCCTCCTTCTTCTTCTATAGCAAATTTTTTTTCCAATCACCATGTTGTTCATCATCATTGATTGATGAATTGGATTGAAATAAATGATGAAAATGTATGAATCAAATAATCTCAAAAACAATGCATAAAAAAGCAATGAATAAAATAAATCAAACTCACTTGATTCACTGCAGAGGCAAACACGACGATTGACTAACGCAGTACCATCAATGTTTGGACTTTCATCAACGGTCACCGTTTTACATACACGATCATTGAATCCTTTGTTGTTACAGAATGTAGTACATTGGAATGAATTTTCACAGGCACGATATTCCTGTATTGCTTGAGCCATTTCTAGATTTTTTGTTTTGTTTTGTTTTGTTTTATTAAATTCATAAATTAATTGATTGAGAAAAAAATTGTGAAAATAATGATAATATATTAATTATATATAATCGATAAACGAATATCGACCAGAATATACAAATTTAAATTTCATTATGAAATCAACAAATTATAAATTTCACTAAAAAAACATTTCAATCAAATATTTCAAAGTTTCATCACTGGTTTTTATAATTTTTTTTTCTAAAATTAAAATTTTATACGAACAAATAAAACTGATAAATATAAGATTTGCTTTGAAATATTTGATGATGTTTTTTTTTCGATGAAAATTCATTTCAAAAAAAAAAAATTTATATATGTCATTTAATTCATAAGTAAATCAAACTTACCGAGCATAAACAACGAAGCAATGATGAAAGCTGGATTAATAAATATAATTTTATGAAATGCCATTTTTATTTTGTTCGTTGTTATCTTCGATTATTACCGATAATATGGATATAGATTCAATAAAATAAAATGAATGAATGAATAAATGAATGAATGACTGGATGATGATCTATGGTGAATGAAATGTTGTTCAAATGTTGACCAAATGATTGAATGTATAAAAATGTTGTTCGGTTATTGCGTTTTATAATGGCCATCGAGATGATTTTTTTTGTTCATTTCGTTGTGTGTGTGTGTATAGGGGGAGGGAAAGGGGTTATTCATCCGTTGTATAAACTTGATTGAACCAAGTTATAGTTGATGATGGTCAATGAGAGTAATAGAGTTTAGAGAGTTAAAAACCTCAAAAAAAAAAATGAAGAAACGAAAGAGAAACATATATATATAGAGAGAGAGAGAGATGTATAAATGTATGCACCAGATCTGGTTCAATCGTTTATCATTTGAACATTTTTTCCCCATTTTCTGGATTTGTTGCCATGCTGATGGCTATTATACGGTTTGTGTACTTGTGTGAATACATATACGGATCTAAATCGCCTGGTGCGACCTGTTATTTTAGTCTATTCATACAATATGATCATCATCATGATGATCATGATGATGATGGCGTTATATCGTAAATGAAAAAGAGCCAAAAAAAACCCATTGAAAATAATCAAAAATAATTTTACAAAATTAAACTAAACCATGAACAAATAATAAATAATTTTTTTTTTTGTTGTTGTTGTTGTTTCAAATTATTCATTTTACACACACACACACACACCCGTATGTGTTTATTTAATCAACAGGTGTTTTATATAAATTATATTACCCAAACAAAAAAAAAAACCAGTGCAAAATGAAAACAATTTAAAAACAAAATATTTATCCATTAAACATTTGTATTTTTGAATGTAATCTTATCCAGGTGAAACCAAAAAAAAAAAAAAAATAAAAAATAAAAAAATTTGATCAAACAAAATCATGATAACGTATTGACCAATGAGGAAACCATGATGGTTATTTGTATAATTGAAAAAATTCAAACATTCCACCATTCCTTTCTTCTTGTATGGCATTTTCTTCTTTTTTTTCCTATTCTCGTCAACAACAACAACAACAACAACCAGAAAAAAACTGGTCATCAGCTATAAAATGTGCTGTTATTAATGATAAAATCATATGAAATAATTGATAAAGGAGAATAAAAACGGGATAGGGTTATCTATATGTGAATATATATCCGTGGCCACATGCCAACGAAAAAAAAAAAATCCAAATACCGAAATTAATCATGTTGATGGTGGTGGTGGTGGTGGTGGTGTGGTCACAGTGTTTTTCGATGAACTGATTTTTTTTCTTTTCCCATTCAATGTTTGGCCAATTTTATGGTCAGATACTGTGTGTGTGTGTGTGTGTGTAGTTGAATCATTTGTTTCATTCTTTTTTTTAAGGTCATGACCGCAATTCAATAAAAGTTATCATCATCATCATCATCATCACAACAGACATAAAACCAAAGAGACTCTTTTTTTTTTTTTTATATTTCCATTTCATTGAATCCTTCTTGTTAAAAGATATTTTTCAATGACCATCACATAATAATAACCAACGTTGATGGTGTTTATTTTTAGATCGAACAAAAAATAAATAAATAAATAAATAAACAATCATTAAAAATAATGATGGCGCCCTTGCGTCAACAACGAGAACATTTCCATTTTCTCGTATCACATCATCATCATCATCTTCAACATAAGGGAGCAGCAGAAAAAAAAATCTTCAAGCGATCCTGTTTTTGATAGTCGTATTTTTTTTTTTAATTTCTTCGCACAACACAACACACACACACATCATTTTGATATGAAGAAGATGATGACCTCCTGACCATTATGGCTATCTTAATCATAATCATCATCATCATCATCATCACAGGAGAAAATGTCGGCCTTGATTTTCTTTGAAATTTTTTGAATTCAAATCTTACCGGATACACACACACACACACACACATGAATGGTGAACGAGTAGAAAAAAAATTTTGTTCATTTCAATTTTTTTCAAAATTTTAAAAAAATGTTTGGAATTTTTGTTTTGTTGCAATGATTATTATTATTAATACATTTTACAATCAATGAATTGTATAAAAGATGTCAAAATTCAAAGAAAAAAAATCGAAATTTTGAATAAAAAAACTTGTGTGAGTTACAAATAATAATTGAATATATATGTGAGAGCGAAAGTAGAGGTGATGTTTTTTTTTTGTCTTTCAATGGATATTTCTATGATTGGTGGGTGTATTTAGTGATATAATTATTTATTTTTATTTTTTTTTTTTTGGTGAATTTAATGAATGATGAATGATGATGTGAATTTTTTGTTTTGTTTTGTTTTGTTTTTAATGTTTGAATGGATATTGATAGTATTTTTTATTTAAATTGTTTATCAATGTTGATCATTATCAAATGAATTATGTTCATTTTTTTCGCTTGGTGTCAATTCATCAGCTTCAGGCATATGTACATCATCACCATCTTCATGTGTATCATATGTACCTTCATGATCATTATCACGACGACTTAATACAACAAATAATACAATTATAATCAATAGAATCAATATTGGTACTAATATTCCAAAACCAATGCCAGCAATTTGGCCAATATAAGCTGCATGGCTAATACATTCTGGATCTTCACCCCAAGACCATAGGCCATCTTCTCTACATCGACGAGCTTCATAACCAACTAAACGATAGCCATCATTGCAACTAAATCGTACAATTATACCTGGCCAATAACGATTTTCAGATTTTCTTCCATGTAATGGTTTAGGTAATGCTGGACAACGGATTTCTAAATATTCCAAATATAAACAAATTAGATCGATTCAAATTCACAACTATTTTTGTTGATTTACATACCCATTCTTTGTGCTTCTTTAGCCAGGTTAGCTGATGCTGTTTCTTCTTCTTTGGTCAATGTAGCATATTCTCTACTCAATGTTGTAATGAAATCATAACGACAAGAGCTTGAATCAGTACAAACATTGATCATATCTGCTTCCAAATGTCTTGCATATGATGGTAATTGTGGATTAAATTCTGGTTTGAAATTTATCCCATCATAATAGGAATATGGCACAGAATCATGAAAAAATAATGTTGGCTGTTGATTAATATCGTTTGGTGTTACTTTTTCCAGTACACGATACACCCTAGATAATTCTCGATACAATACTTCGGATGCACTATCAATAGGAAGATATTGTTGATTAGGTAGTACAAAATCATCATGCTGTACTCTAGAATAATTTCCAAGCAAACCAGATGTACTATTCTATATTGGATAGAATCAATAATCATTAGTTTTATCAACATTCATTATTTTTGTAATTAAACTTACCATAAATGAATATGGTGCATAAACATGAACAGTCATACGACCTTTGTTGGCCATAACTTCAACACCAGCACCAGAATCAAACATGGCAATAATATGTGACATATTTTTAATACCAGCCGGTTGAAATAATGTAACACCATAGAAATTCTGTACACGCATTGAATCATCCCACCAAAATACGTATTCTTTATCGACAATAACATACATTTGATAACGCCAACTTGCAGCCAATGGACGTATACGGAATTCTACTGTTGATGATACATTATCTTTGACAGCAATGGCACCTAAAAATGTTGCATTAGGCATCGGTGAATAATTGTCCGGTGATGGTAGTTGTTCAAAACGACCTTGTAGCTCTATGGAAAATTTGTTTATTGAAAAGAGGACTCAGAAATCAGTATTTGATTTCAAAAAAATGATTCATTCAACACTAGCTTACCGAATCGATACATTGGATTTTGAACACGAGCTAATGTATATTCACCTTTGCCATTAAATGTATAATTAAATTGATCGAATGTTATTAGATGTGGATCACCAAAAACCGATGCAACGGATGGTGGTTGATACGAAGAACAATCTTGTGATGTACGCCAATAATTATACATTTGACAGGTTTGGGCATTATCTTCTTCAGCTTGCCATTTACAACAGAAAAAGAATGGTACAACATCATGGAAATATTCCGACAACACTGGTATCATCATTTGTGATTTGAATGGATGTTTACCATAAACATAGGCACGTGACGGTCGTCCACCATACATTGTATCGGCTGTTTGTAAAAGTTCACCTGTTTCATCATAACAACAAGTTTGTCCAGACCCACCAATACTAATAATTGAATATAGATAAAATTAAATCGAATAACATTTAAGCATTACTTCAAGTAATACTTACGAAGGTCTTCCAGTTTTAACACAATGTAATGCACCACGATGAAATGTATCACATTTACGATCGATAACATTACATTGAAGATCTGGTGAAAAATGGCCACGATCCAATTGTGCTTGTCGCATTGTACATGGACAACGGAAAACGGTTGTAGCAAAATAATCAAGATATGTTTCACGATCAAACCATTTGTTACACATGTAGGTTTTCCATTTTCCATTTGAACCAAATTCTTTTTCCCATTGTTTCTTAAAATACCATGCTAGCGGCATAGCTCTTGACCAGATTATTGGAGATTTTCTTAGATCTAAACCAAAAACTTGATCTGGATTTGTAATATTCAATGCTAAAAAGCCAAATGTAATATCCGATACTGATGGATTGTATCGGGTTCGAAATTGTTGAACATCCAAAACATATTTAGCATCCTGTAAATTGATACCATCAACTAATAGATCGATATAGGTCAGTGATGGATAGACTTTTTCGGTTTCACGATAACCCCACAATGATAATTGTCCAATTGCTCGTGGATCCAATGTTAATCTTTCGGATTTCCATTTGATTTCAATTTCTACTGGATCTTCTTGACGATCACCATCGGCTACAATAGAAATATCATCATGTGCAATATCTGGTGGCTCTATAGGATTGAAACAAATGTATTATTTTATGTTTGAAAAAAATTTTCAATTAAATTTATAAAAAAAACATACGAATATAAAATCGACCATAAAAGTCAATAATGCCATTTACTCGTACTGTTAAATCAACATAGCCATGATACATGACAGGTGGTGAAATGCAACTGACACGATTTTTATCGATGTAAACACCTTTGGTTGGCCAATTTTCAAACATACATTCAATAATATCTTCAGGACTGTAACAAGGTCCAGTTACATTGACCAGTGTACCACCAAGCATATTACCGACTTTTGGAAAAAATGATAATGGCAATCGACTAGGTAGATTAGGATCTAATTCTTTTTCTACACAAGCACCAGACCAGATTTCTTCATCAATTTGAAAAAAATATCGTCCTTCAAGATTGTTGCCAAAACCTCGGCTTGGAAGATATGAAATACGTGCATTTTGTGAATATGGAACAAATTCATATGTTCTAGTACTGTTGCCAGCATTGAAACCAACCTAAAACATATTCATAAATGACATGATTATCATTCTGTTCAATCAATTTGTCAACTACTTACATAAGCTGGTGGTCCTTTTTTACCTTCGAAATAGGGTGCGATCCATCCGATATGTTCATAATTAAACATGGCAAATGTACGTACTTCGTCCGTGGCCAATACAACCTGATAGCTGTTAGTGACTCGTTCAAAATCCGGAGCACGATTTGTATAAGTCATATTTTGCCATGTAATAATCATGGCAAATTTTGGATGAAAATTCGAAGCACCAATCATTCCTTCACGAAAATCAGCATATATACGATCACGTAATGTATAATTGGATTCTTTTGTCAAATCAACCACACGAAGATAGATACCACCTTGAGGAGCTCTTGGTTCAACTTCTTGCATTGCAAAAAATGGTGCAATAATTGCCGGATCATGACCTTTGCTCTGTTTGTTTGGCGGTGCATATGGGAATTTTATAGGAAAATTATATGATAATTGTCCTTGACTGAATGCTAGATAGCCATCTCTTTGAATCCAAACATAAGTGTAACGGAAACCAAAAAATGGCATCTGAAATTGTAATGGCTGATCATGAAAAGATTTACTGGATGTAATTTCAAGAAAATCTTGTTGATTAAATGGATACATTAATTCGGTACGGAATCGTTGTAGATCACCCATTGTTATTGGTCCCTGTTGTTCTAATGGTCGCCGATTACCTGGAATGTATTGTGGAGCTGAAAAAAAAATTTTTTAAAAAAATGAGAAAAAAAAGATTTCATATTGAAAATTGTTCAACCAGTTCAATATTAACATGAATAACAATGGCGCTAATTACAATCAATTTTGAAAAAAAACTACTAAAATAATGAAAAAATTTCAAAATTCGAATTACACTTACCTCGATTTAAATCTGAACCACTTCGTATACTTTGTATATTGATTGAACTTTGGCCGGATGCAGTTTTTAATCCAGCATTATTAGCTATTTGTGTATGACATAATTGCAAACATATTGTGATGATAAAAAACGCTAGGCAAGGGCCTAGAATTATGTGATTGTTTAATAGAATCATTTTGAATTTTTTTTATCATTGAAATTATAACATCACAATCGAAAAAAAATGTAAAAAAAAAATTTTACAAACACATACGAAAAAAAAAATGAAAAAAAATTTCCAATTTCAATAAATTTTTATCGATGCACACGCAAATAGGTGTGTAACACAATTGAAAGAATATATTGAGGGACAAAAAATTTGGATTTTTTTTTGATATTTGCTTTTTACTGGTGCTGATTTCTTTTTTTTTTTTTTTTTTTTTGGGTGGCAGTGTTGTTCCCTAATGTCCCCTTTTGATGATGATGATGATGAGAGATGGCAATAATTTGATATGATAAGATTTACACTTACAAGTATCACCAGAAAAAAAACGCAACAATAACGTTAAAAAAAAAAATGTTAGAAACAATAACGGAGAATAGAATGAAAAAATAAAAAAAAAGAAAAAATTTCTATCACATTCAAAAATCCATTCTACACTATCAATGATAATAACCAATAATGAAATTGCAGGTAAACGATGTAACTAAAAAAAAAAATATCACAATCAAACAAACACACACACACACATTATTAAGTATGTTTATCATTTCTGTTGTTGATTATAGCAACAAAAAAGTGGAACCAATTCATGTTGCATCAATGATTGGTTGACAGGATGTATACAGTATTTTATCTATTTCTATCTTTGATATTGATATATATATATATATATATATATGACATGCATACAGACAACAAACATAAATGAAAAAATAATAATCTGATCACCAGAACAACCAAATAATAATAATAATCATTTGATAAATCCTAAATCTCATAAAAACAAAATTTTTTTTATTTTTTTTTTTTTTTAAATAGAGGCGTTGGCCACTGTTTATTACAAATTAAGATTATCATATGTCCGGATTTCAGTTTGGACATGTTATGGAATTTTAGTAATCATCTATTTTGGCCATATGAAACATACTGATCAATTATTGGATTGTATAGAATTTTTTATTTGGAAATAAAATATGGTATCCCTTGTTAAAAATAAATGAATTGAGATTTAAATCATCATCATCATCATTATCATTTTGAATGAAAATTTTCAAATTTTTTTTTTTAATTTTTGCTTCAAAATAACTGGCTATGATGGATTGATGATTATTATTATTATTGTTGTTGTTGTTGTTGTTTTAATTTCAAAATTATCACCATGGTGACCACAATATTAACCAACCAGTCACAACATCAATAATAATTTACATTAACAACCACACAATTATTAGCTATATATCAAATTGGAATTGGAATTTTAAAAAAAAACACTAAACTATTACAGAAATAACGGCACAAATATTAACCAGGATTCCAATAGGAAACAAAAACAAAATTTCGATTCATTTCATTTTTATTTCATGATGATTAATCATCATCATCATCATCATATCTATGCTAATTTTTTTTTTCGCACTTTGCAAATAGTTTAGTCTCATTCTCTGTTTGTATACAAACTAGAAAATCCAAATCCATAACAGTTTATGGATGATGGTGATAATAATTATTATGCTCGTAATGGGATAAACATCAATGAATCACACACACACACACACACAAAAAATGGACACGACAATCGAAACCAGAAAAAAAAGTTGATGAATTGCTACAATTCCTATTAAAACATCATCACATTAGTACTTAAAATAATTTGGCCAGAAATACGATGATGACTAAGCTTGCAAATATTTTTTTTTCATCATCATCATCATCGAATCTGTATTATTAATTTAGATTTTGGTTTTTTTTTTGTTTGGAAAAAAAATTACACAAATTCAAGTGATCATTTAAAGATAATATGGGGTGGGGAGAAAAAATGTGTGTGTGTGTGTGTGTGTGTGTGTGTGTGGGGCCAAGATTTTGATCTTGTAATCAGTGGTAATAATATATGATGATATGATAGAATGCAATAAATGATGTCAAAACATTTTTTTTTTTTTTTTTTTTTTTTCCATATCCTAATAAATCACAAAATAAGGACGCAAATAGTGAAGAAAAAAAATAAAATCTCTTATCTCAAGAATGCAAAAAAAAAGCTTTCTACATTAGCAAATGAAATGAAAAATATACCGTTGCCACACCGTTATATATATATATATGTGTGTAGATCTGTGAATCAAATCAAATCAAAAATAAATGATCAGGTTGTCCGTGTAATACCAAAAACATACAACACACACTGCATAGCACCGATACCGGTAACCGCGGTAATTATCGTATGGCAAACATTTTTTTTTCTTCTTTTAAATTTCAAAACTAATAATACGACTAGTAAACTTTGGATGTTAATGATCAAATACAATACAATATACATTGTTGTGTTTAATATTGATGATGATGATGATGATATAAGTGTGTGCAAACAAAATGGAATCAAAAGATAAAATAAAAAATAAGACGTAGTAGTGAATATTATTATTTTAACTTTTTATTTGTGGTGGCGAAAAAAAATCTTGTAGCAAGTAAAAAATTTTTTTATAATAGAATAAAATTGTTGATGATGCCAAACTCGTGGCTTTTTTTTGTTTGTTTGCTTGTTTATTCAATTGCCTATTGTATTAGGGTGTGTTTGATTTTTTTGCTTGATTTTTATTTTGATATTAATTATTATTGATTGATTGATATTGATCATCATCATCATCATGATTCATATCAAAATTGGAATTTGTTTTCATTCAGGTGTACTGCCATCTATCGTCGATCATAATGAATAAAATGAATGTGTTTTTTTTTTTTTTGTTGATTATTTTTTTTAGCCTTGAAAAATTTATTGATGATTCATGATGATGCATCGGTCCAAATAAGTTTGTTTTGTTCACGAAGCACGTGCAATTTAATCATTGCAATAATAGCCATCAGATTAATATCAGCATTTAGAATAACATGTTCAATATTTTCAAATTGTTTAGATAATTTTCTATGATGTTTATGAATATTTTTAGCTGTACGTAATGATATTTTACTAGTATGATTCCAATGTTTATTCACGGCAATTTTCATTCGTTTAGCCGTACGAAAATTAAGTTCAATAATAATTGGATAGATTTGTTGTGAATGGAATTCATCCAAACTATTACCAGTTACTGTTATGACTGGATGTTTACCTTGATTTATAATTTCCATTATATTTGTCAATGAAATAAAATCACCTGAACCATCTTCACGATGTGCACAAGAAATATAATGTTCATCTTTTTTTCTTTCAAAATCTTTAATCGATGCCATCATAATCATTGTTTCGGTTTTTTTCTGACATAATTGAAACAATGATGAAAATTGCATTTCCAAACGTTTACCAATTGTATGGCTATATGGACCAAATATGATTACCGGTCTTGGTTTAGTCTGTTCAATCATTTGAACTCTTCGATATGCTTGAAGATTATCAATACATTCAAATGAATTATGATCATCAATCTGTTTATCTTGAACATTATTATTATTATTTGTCATATAAGAAAATGATGCAAGTAGCCGTGTATCGTTTTCATTGTAAGATTTGTTTGATGTTAATCTTTGAAATAGCTGACGAATTGATCGAAAACTTTTCATATCATCATTATTCGAACAAAATAATCGTCGAAACATTTCACATTCGGCATTATATTTGCTTGGTATATGACCATTTTCAATTGGTTGTCCAAATGGATCAAGTTTCCATGCACGCCAATATTTACATGGTTTGCCATCATATAATGTACTATCCACATACAAGATGTCGCCCTTGTTAAATTGTAATGAACTACTACATGATGATCGACTAAATTCAGCTCGAATATAAAATGAATCGCCAATAGGATTATCCTGAATTTGTTGAAATACTAAAATTGGACAAATTATTTACCTACAATCATTCATCAATCAATCAATTGATCAAGTACTCACCATCGATATTGAACAAAACCACCAGTTCAGCAGTTTGAATGTTTTGTGCAATCGGTTCAGCTAGATGTAATGCTGCATCTTCTGCTGTAGCTTGTGTTAGATCGTATTTATTATATTCAAGTATTTGATCACCAATTTGTAGAAAATTTTTCAATTCTTCAGCAATCGTATGAACAAATATGCCGACAGCATTACCTCCACAAAGTTTTAATTTATTTGCAAACAATGGCCGTAAATGTATACGACGTGGTAATGTTACATTCAGAAAATGATTCTGATACAAAGCCAATTGTTCATTCTGTTTTCTATCAAAATATGGATGTAATATTCGATTCTTACGCTTAAATGCATTTCTTCGTATTAATGTACTTCGTTTCGTAACTAATTTTCGATTATTATTGGAATTTTTTATCATTGTTAAATTCATATCTGTTTCATATCGATTTGTCGTAGAATTTATTTTGATTGGAATTTCATTTTCTTCACATTCATTTATTATTTTTTCAGCCCATTTATAATTAGCCATACGCATATTGATTCCACATATTTCTAATATACGATCATCTTGTCGTAGACCAGCTTTATATGCTTCACTATTATTGGCAACTTGTCGTATGATAACACCATTTTCAATTGTCATGTTGAAAAATATTCCATGAAATTCATGTGTTTTTTTAACCATAATCAATTGTTTTACCTGTTCATTTTTTTTCATATCATTGTTGATTGAATTGCAATTTTCAATCATAACCACATTGTTACTGTCTTCATTCATATCGTCTAATTTTATTAATGATCTTGAAAAATTAATACATTTTCTCATTGAATCAGATAATACAAGATTGGATTTTTTCTCTACATTTGCAACATGATTTGCTGATTGATTTGTATCAATAATCAATGTTTTCTGGCCATTATCTTGATCATCATCATTATCAATATTTTGTTGTTGTTGTTGTTTACATTTAACAGAAACAAATGGTTGTGAACATTTTTTCCATTGATTATGTTCAATATGAAGATGATTATTATTACGATTAGTATTTGTTGATTGTGTTGATAATGTTGTACGGATTTTTTGACGTTTTTTTCTTGTTTTAGTCAATGATAATGAATGTTGTCGATAATTCTTGCCACCATGATGATGATGATGATGATGATTATTATTATTATTATTAATAACATTTTTAATTTGACAACAATAGCGTTTATGATATTCAAGTTCACGTTGATTTGATGTCAATAATCGTGAAAGCCGTTGACGTACAAGTTTTTCTTGTGTAAATAAAAATTGATATGTACGAAATTGGCGACAATAATGATCACATTCTGTTTGTAATAAATTATTACTTTTGGCAAGATTTTGACAAGTTTTCTGTAATATTAATATTCGATTCATGAAATAATCATATTGTTGTCGTTGTTTGTCGTGTTTGGCAATATTTTTCAATTCATTTGTTTGTTCATCAGATGATAATTGTGATTGAAAATCATTAATAATTGTTTGAATATTATTATTACAATGATTGTCATGATAATCATTTAAATAATCATAATGATCATTATTATTATAATCATCATCATCATCATCATCATCGATGAATTGATCAATAATTGATAGATCCATCAACGATTGGTTGAACAATTAAATTGAAAATTGTTTATATTTGATGATTAAATAATTGAAAATAATTGCTACCAATTTGTTCATTCAACTTGAATCATTTGAAACAATGAATCTTGCCTGAATAGATGAAATGGTTGATGGCTACAATCAAATTGAAATGGAATAATAATGAAATATATATGTCTTATTATTTGATTACGTATAATTTTTTTTTCTTATCTCGTTTTTTTTTCTAATTTGGCATCAAAGTTTGTTTTTACATTACATATCAGTAGTAGATCAATGTTACATATCTGTAACCGAAAAATTTATTAATTGTCTCGTTTCATTTATCAATATTGTAGTGTATATATTATATATGTTTATTATGGTTATCGATAGAATTTCATCATCGTTGCCATTAGTTATGATTATGATTATGATTATCATTTTTTTTCTCACTTTAAATTTAATCAACAATCGATAAAATTGTCTCGATCCATGGTTATCCACTTATCTCTTTCTTATTTATTTTGTAACAAATATGACCACGTAGATTTATTTTTGTAGCTGTGGCTGTTGTTGTTGTTGTTGAAAGTAAACATTCTAAACACACACAGTAAAAGGGAAATGTATCGAAATACGCCTCTGATTACATACATACTACACCTGATCAATCTTTTGATGAATATTTTAAGAATCAATCGATCTTTTACTATGCAGATATTGTATTGACATGTTTCAATTTTTTTTATGGCCATCATCATTATCATCATCATCATTTTTTTTATTCGATTAATGATGATTGATTGAATTCGATTGACCATCTTTACATAATCAGCATTTTTAGAATAAAATTCTGATCAGATTTGATGACCATCTCATATTCAATATCAACATTCTAACTTATGTAGGCTAAAGAATAACAAAAAAAAGTAAAATTCTATGAACCATATCGAATCAAATTTTTTTTTTGTTTTCAATGTAAAAAAAAGAGAAAAAAAATGAATTCAATTTGAATGACTGACACACACACACACACACACACACACACACATACAGAACTTCTATATGGTAATGATGATCCAAAGGCTGTATGCAAGTGTTTCAAACAAAAATGGGATGTTTCACTGTGAAAAAAAAATTTTTTTCAAGAATAATGAACAGAAAAAAAATATACACTGACGACATTCAAACCAGTTGAACCAAAAAATAACAAAAAAAAAAAATGACTGAAACTAAAGAAAAGGAAGGAAATATTTAGAAACAGATGCTCGATCATCTTATGTGTGTGTGTTTGGGTTCGGTAGAAATGCAAAATCCAGTAAAAAAAACACTTGAAAATAATTGTGCATTCATCATCATCATCATCATCATGTGGATTCAAATGGATTGAATTTTTTTTTTTTTGTTTCTTTTTCAAGATACTTTTCAAGTTTTATTTTTTTTTCTTTCTTTTTGATTTCTTGTTGTTTTTTTTTTCAAAACTGAATTTTGTTTTCAAATCAGAAATAAAAAAACAAACAAACAAACAAAAAAGTCAAACAATAATAATGTAATGAAAACAGGAAAGAGGAAAAGTTTCCGGAATGAAAATTATACTTTTGGCTGATTTTCATGCTGATAATGCATTAATGATGCATTCTTTTTTGTTGTATCTAATTTGAGAATAAAATACTATTTATATAAACGAAGCTAGATTTTCATTGTAATCATTGATTGAAATCAATTCGATTTGATGGCTATGAAATTTTTCAATATAGAATCTTTGAACCAAACTTTAATTTAAAACTAAATTATCAATGCAGAATTTAGTTTATCGACCAAAATTTTGCCAAAAAAAATGGATTCTGTTGAATTTCAAAAATGAAAACGCGTGTGTGTGTGTGTGTGTGTTTTGCATGCATGTCATTTGTTTGTTTGTTTGTTTGTTTGTTTCAGGAACTAAATTTGCATAAAATTCTAATCGTTTGCAAGAACTCGAATTTTTTCCTGAATATAAACAGTAAAGTGAACAGGAGAGAAAAATTTTTAATTTCAATTCCAATGTCATATATTCCGGAATTAAAAAAAAAAAAAAAGAAAGTGATCGGTAAACAAAACAGAAAAAAAATTCAAATCAATTCACGGTATTATTATTGTTGTTGTTCATCGAATTCAACAAAGATCACAATCAATTATTAATTCCAAATATATAAATATCGAAAAAAGTTCAATTTCATTTTGTATGGCTCATTTTTTTTATATGAAAAAAAACAGACACACAATTGAATTTGTTGAATATTCTTATATTGAATAGAATCATCATCATCATCATCAACATAATTACAATACAACAACAACAACAACAACAACAAAAATAGAAAAAGCTAATAAAAATGAATTGATACAATTGTGATTGTAACCGGGGTAATTTTCAATCGACTGCAGTAGACCATATTTTCCATTTTTGATCCTATTGTTTGTGATTTTGATTGTAAGTTGCCAATATTTGTAGATATTTCAAACGCACACACACACATGATTCACAATTGTGAAAATGTTTCAAACAATCAAACAATAGTTTTTGTATGTGTGTGTGTGAATGTTTCATACATAAAACATACTTGGGCAATGAGTTTTCTGATTATTATGATGATTGAAAATATTAGATTTCATCATCAACATCATCATATCGATTCTTTGCTTTTATTATTATTGCTTATCATCAACATTTTTTTATTTTTTTTCAATATATTAAATACAAATTATTTTGAAAGTATATTGTATCATTCATCTAATTGAGCTAGTTATATCTATTTTTTTCCTGGAACCTTGAATACTGGAATTTCAATGAAGAAAAAAAAGTCGAATAGAAAGTGAATTATATACATGTATTCACTTAACCAATTCAATATTGGTCATACAAATGACTTTAGGAATGTTGTTCAGTGATGATAATGAAAACATATATATATATTGTATGTGAATGGACAATTTGTATTTGATGTTATTCAATTTGTTTTATAATTGAATTCTGATTTTATATTCGTTATATTTGCCTTTGGCATTTTGTTGTTGTTGTTCAATATGTAATATAAACGATGACGACGATGAAAGAATATTATATTTCATGGTTTTGTTGGATAGCTAGAAATGACCAACAACCATTGATCATATAATAAATTTCATTTCCAATACAATAAGATTTAATATAATCTTTGTGTGCAAAAAAAAAGTTGCAACAATCCCAACAACAAAAAAAATGTTTAGAACCTGATGATGATGATGATGATAATCACGTTACGGTATACGTAAAAAAAGTTCACTGTTTTTTTCCTTCCCCCCCATTCACTTGAATATTGAAACTTTTTTTTCATTGTTTCATAAAAATTAGCTATTAGCTTATTATAATCGTGTTCTACTAATTAGCACCATGGAAAAAAAATTCCAATCAAGATTTCCAAAGGATTCTTAGGATTACCACATGTACACATTGCAGAATAAAGTGAGAAAAAAATGTGAAAATTTTAAAATCAAGTAGGATAAAAAAATAACATTCAAATTCCAAACCCCACTCTCAATAGATTCATTTGGCATTCAAATCATGACACGCACAAACATGGCCAGAAAAAAAATTGACATGTGTTTATTGTCAATGTTGTCACACACACACACACACGTACACAAACAAATAAACTTAACCTGGTTCTCCGAGACCCTGATGTTTTTTTTTGATTTTTTTTCGTTCAGAATTCTATCTGAGTGTTTGAATAAACAAATTTGTTATTTTGTAGCTGAATTTTTTTTTATCATCTGATAATTAAATCTTTTTATTTTCAAGAAAAAAAATTTTTTTTCTTGTTGTCAAACTGGAACCTGGAAACGAAATTCTTCATTTTTTTTTTGTGGTTGTCGACCACCATCATGATGATGATAACGCCCAATTGTATACCATAACTGAATGATTATTTCATATTGTAGAAACCAAAAAAAAGGAGGAAAAATAACCGAACCAATCAAATACAATTGTAAATGAGACTAGCCACAACAGCCACAGCTAAATCGAACGAAACCACACACACATACGCGGAAAACAGAATTCAGAATCAAAAAAAAAGAGCGCGCCAGAATCCTGCGCATCTAATAATTGAAAAACAAATGTTCAAAATGTTGTTGAATCAATTCCTAAAAAGATGTTGATATTGGTAATGATGGTTAAGGCAACAACCAACTTGGTTATGGAATTGTCCAGAAAAAAAAACAATTTGACTTTAACACACACACACATACTTATCACTCGATCAAATGTCGTTGAATTGTTGTTGTTGTTGTTTGAATAAACAATTTTGTCCAGAATCACAAAAATTATTCTACAATTGACAAATTATTTTACCATATATTTTTCTTTGTGTATTTGCGATTCAAGTATTTGTGTGTGTTTTGATTATTGATTGATTTTTTTTTCATCCATTCAAATTCTCATTCAATTGTTTGTTTCAATTATAAATCGCATATATATTGTGAGAAGGAGGTTTTTTCTCTCTCTCTCTCTCTCTCTGAGTTAAAGTGTTGTCAGGTGCATTTGAAAAGAAAAATAAAACTGTCATATGCATCGTGTGTATACGTGTACCACGTGATCATCGAGATCAATTGTTTGGTCAATTATTTGATTTGACGTTACGATTGAATGATTTTTTTTTTTTTTTTGATATTTTTATTATTTACGGATTCAAAAAAAATATTTTCATTTGATTTTAATATTCAAAATCAAATTTCCATCAAACAATAATAATGATGTTGATTATCAATTTATCATCATATCGAATCATTATCAATACAATGAGATCAATAATTATTGATCATTTATTAATTTTATTAATAATCGCTTTTCATTGTGATTATTATTATTATGATGTTTATGATGGAATCAACATTAATCGACCACAACAACAACAACAACGATCATTACTATCAACAATAATGGTTATGGCCGATTGGGATTCATGGTGGACATACGAAGGAATCTCAGGTATGTATCATAATCATCATTGTATAAAAATATCGGTTATTTTTATGTAATATTTGGAGAACGAAAAAAAAACAAATTCATGAACATTATAAAATTGAAGAATTTTTTCCATTAATTTATTTCATTGCAACAACAGCACAACAACAACAACGAAAAAAAAATTCTAAATGGAAAAAATGCAATGACCATGAAGAGATTTTTTCTTTTTCGACTAGTGTTAATTAGTTTTTTTTCCCAACTTCATTATTATTATTATTATTATTATTTTTTCTGGTTGAAATCCAAAATCCACACACACACACACACACATGGTCGATTTTAATGACATCGAAAGAGGTGTCATTATTATTACGGTGTCTTTTCCCTCCCCTCCATCACAAATAATGATGAGTTTCAAAGAATTTTCATCAAGTTTTTTTTCCTCCTACGGTAAGGAATGTTTATTGTTTTGTTGTGAATCGAACAAAAAATAAAAATAAAAGAAAATGAATACGATAAAAATGACAACTACAATGATGATGATGATGATGATGATAAAACCAAAACAAAAATGAAAATCAAGATTAACATTGGACCGTTTTGTTTTCAGGGATGATTAAACCAATTTCATTTCATTTTCAGTTGATTATATTGGCGGTATTTTTATGTGTGTGTGTGTGTGTTTGTAATTACATTCTTCAGTCAACTGGTTTGATTCACATTTTCCATCACACTATTTAAGATGAGAGCAAGAGAGAGAGAGAGAGAGAGCCAAAAAGCCAAAACCGATTTTTTTTCCCGATGTAATTACACTTGTAGAATATTTTTATTTTCGACGATAATTGAAAATGTTGTTGTTGTTGTTGTTTCTGAAGAGGTTGACCCTTGACAATATTTTCATTTTCATTTCGTTTTTTTTGGTTGTATTTCAACGAATGAATTTGTTGTTTTTTGTGTGTGTGTGTGTATGTGGAGCACCGATGATGATGATGATGATGATGATTATGATTGACATTCATGTCAAATGCATGTAAAAAAAATTGTAACAAAAAAAATGAAAATGGAATATTCTATTTCTGATTCGTATATTAATGAGTGTGTGTGTGTGTGTGTGTTTGTGGATCGAGAAAGAGAGAAATAAAAATAAAAAACAAATTAACTATTTTTTCTGACCATTTGATTTCATTGCAAATGTTTTTTTTTATTCTATTCCATGATGATGATTTTGTTTTTTTTCATTATCATTTCTGTTATATATTAGGTCCAGATTTTTGGGGCCGTTTAAATCCAAAATGGTCACATTGTAGTAAAGGACGACGACAATCACCGATTGATATTGATACAGAATTACTTATATATGATCAATATTTAAGAGAATTATATATTAAAGGTGATTATATTGATGGCAATCTAATAAATACTGGCCGTAGTATTGAAATTGAAGTTGATCAAAAGAAACCAATCATAATTACTGGTGGACCACTTAGCTATCAATATACATTATCAAATGTAACATTACATTTTGGTCGTGAAAATAATCGTGGATCTGAACATAGTATAAATCAATTACAATTTTCTGGTGAATTACAATTCTATGGTTATAATGGACAATTATATTCAAATTGGTCAGAAGCTAAAAGATCACCAAATGGTTTAGTTGCCATTGCAACTATGATTAAAATGACAAAAAATATGTCAACAAATGCTCAACTTAAAATTATGATTAATTCATTCAAGAATATAAGCAATAGAGGTATGTAATATTTTTTTTTTTTTATTTTTTATCAGATAACAACAATATAAAACAAAAGTTTGAACAAAAATCATTTCATCACTTGATTAGTTTTCGTTATTAACTCTTTCTTTCATTTCAATATATGAAAATAGTGAAAAAAAACAAAAAGTGCAAGACCGACATCAGAAGTGACTAGAAAAAAAATTAATTGACAATCACTGTTTTTTTTGATTATGAAACAGATGTTTGAATATTCTTCTCATTATCTCATTATCATCATCATCATCATCATCATGAATATGATGCATTGAAGCGTATTAATTAATAAATTACTCGTATGAATAGCATACATGGACTATCAAAAATGATAGTCTGTCAAATACTCAATGAATTCTGTTGAAAACATCAACCAATGAATGAATGAATGTGTGAATTTAAGAATTTTCCATTGGGGTTTTTTTCAATAGTTCATCTATCTATTTATCCATACATCTATATCATATGAACAAAAAAAAAGAAAGAAAGAAAGAAAAGAAAAGAATTTTTGCTTTTTTTCAATTCAATAATTTCTGATAGATACACCATATGCTTCATCTGTGTATTTGTGTGTGAATTGATCATCGATTGGTTATCATCAACAGCTGGATCGGGAAAATATTAGAAACCGAACAAAAAAATAATGCCAAAAATCCAAAACAATATGCGTATTCAATGATTTTCTTTTTTTTTTTTTCATTATTTCTATGAAAAGCATAATCAAGTTCAACATTCTATTTATATATCGATATTCATTTAAATAATAAAGTGTTGTCATTGAGATAAGCCAAAAAAAAAAATATTTGATTTCATTCACTTGGATCTTTGTGATACAAAACATGAATTTAGTTGTACTTGATTTGATTTTTTTTTTTTTTGATCAACAATAATTCTGTAATATAGAATATTCTACACACACACGCAACCACAAACCTACATACAAAAAGACAATCCAATTGATGAATGTGTAGTGTGTATGTTTGTATTTCATATTTTTTTTCTCTTTCTCGGACATTGTTCCATGGCGACTAAAATGCTGTATTTTTTTTTTTTGCTGGTCAAAATTATGTATGTTATTTCCAAGATTCATTTGAGAATCATGAAAAAAAAAACAATTGTGTATGTATGTATGCGTGTATAAGTGTGTATGATCCAATAAAATGAAAACCAAAATCAGGAAAAAAAATTGGGTGGTAGATAGTGAGTGAAAGAGAAAATCCACCGCCGAGCAACCAGCCAGCCAAAAAAAAAAAAAAAAAAATATATTCTTGGTGAATACAAGTAGTTGATTAAGTAAACATAATATCATGAAATATATATTGTTATTATTATTATTATTCGAACAATTCAACAATATTCTGTTGAATCAAACTATGATTTAATTATCCTTCGACATATATTTATATTACACAAGTGACCAATGATGATTATGATGATGGTTGAATAAGAATTTGATTGCATTTTGTTTTTTTTCTCTTGCTCTTATTTGTTCGGATCCTGAAAAAAAATCACGATAGCCATTGAATACTACGATTTGATAATCGGATTTATTATTATTATTTTTTTTGTTATCTTTTCCGTTTGTTCATTCATTCACAAACTTTGAATGAATTGTTCATAGTTATTACATTGATTAAATCAAATGAATTCAGTTTTGAATTTGATAAATTTAACATATTTATTGTTCATGATTTTAGGTGATATTCAACAATTGAATAGATTAAATTTAAAAGAATTATTATCGGATACAAAACAATTTGTTACCTATGAAGGATCATTAACACAGCCAGCCTGTTTTGAATCAGTTCAATGGATCATATTGAATAAACCATTATATATTAGTGGTCATCAATTACATCAGCTACGTACATCATTGAAAAGTGATGGACATCAGGATAATTTTCGGCCAATTCAACAGCTAAATAATCGTATGGTTACAACGAATATTATCAATCATCGTTTGATATCGGATCTACGTTTCAAGGTATTTAAGTGATGATCAAGAATCTAAGAATCGAAAAAAAATTTATTTATTTTTTTTTTTGTTCATATTTCCATTCAGTACGATTTGGAAGAAATTGATTTCAATACGGATAATGCATATAGTAAACAATTATGCTATGTAAATCAACCGGTAGCCTATAAAGGTTTGTATATTTGATGATGACCATTTTTTATTGATTTAATCATCATCAAATTGAATTTTATTTTTTGTATATTTAATCCGATAGCAAGTAACAAACGGATCACTTGAATGATGGGTAATCATTGTAAAAGATTTTGAATGTTTAATTATAGTTAGAAATATATTCGTATATTTAACAAATGATTTTGAATTTCATTTTTGGAAAACAAAACAAAACAAAAAAAAAATGAATAAAACAAATAGTTTTGATTTCGATGCCACAGGATGGCGGCACTAGTTTGTTCGTTTTTTTTGTTCGGAGAAACCAAACTTCACCAGAAAATTGAAAACAAAAAAAAAATCACAGTGAATGGTCAATGTATTTTGCATATATATATGAATATGATTATGATTTATTATTAAAGTCATAGAACTTGAATCACTTGAAAACACAAACAAACAAACAAACAAAAAAAGGTGAATGTCATTCCGTGTAACTAAATATAGCTGTAGAAACCATCGATCTTATTAATGATAATCATTTTTTTATTCCCATTTTTTGACCTTTATTTTATTCATTTTACTTGTGTTTGTGCCAAAAAAAAAAATAAATCCCCAAATCAATATAAATCATCTAGAAAGGATTAATAATAATAATAATACTAATCAATTTGATAACAATCAAGATCGTGAACAAAAAAAAAAAAAAAAATATGATCTTGCCAAATGTATCAGAAATAAAATAAAAATAAAATGTTTTTTTTAAATAAGAACGAATCGATTTTTCATTTGTTTGTTTTCTCATAGTTGATTTGTCGATGTGAATTATTATTTGTTGAAATGAATGAATCGAAAATTTAAATTACCATTATATGTGTGATTATATAAATGAAGGATCAATTTTTTTTAGAATTGATTGATTGATTGATTGATTGATTGGTGGTGGTGGTGGTGGTGTTAAATAACCGATGCAATAATATAGCCAAATGTGATTAAAATAATTGTATAGATGAAAAAATTCAATAGACCATAAGTCAATTTTAATATTTTATGACGTCGTATACCATCTTTACATGTTGAATCATCTTCATTGATCAGATAACGTCTTGATCCCATCCACAATGCATTACAATAGTTAGTCCAATCAATTGCTGTGACATTAGATTGATAACGTTGTTTTTCATCATCAGAAAGTGATTGAAATATTTTGCTATAATTATCGTTACGAAAAAACCATTGATGATTGGTAAAATGTTCAAGTACTTCAAGTACACGATGCATTTTGTTTGTTACATCAACCATAACACGTTTCTGTCGACAAATGAACAATATCAAATCAAAAATATAGGCAAACAATATGTGTGAAAAAAACATTGTTAAACGATGATTCATACGGCCAACAAAAGTACCAGCACTTATTGGATTTTGTGCAATAGGTCGAACCATTTTGACTGATGGTGTTTTTACTGCAGCCATTCGTGAATAATTAAGAATCTGTGCCCATGATATTGGATTTTTATGCCCAGAAGTGATATGTACCACTTTTGATCTTTGTTCTGGATACATACATGAATGATAGCCAACTACAATTAATGAATTGGCAACAAAATCCACTGGAATAATGTCGGAAATGTAATCACAACGCACTATATTTTATATTGGAATACATAGTCATAGATTATAATCATGAAAATAATACAATAAAAAAAATAATACTCACTTTCCATTGTTCGAGCAATGCCAAGACCACCAAGTAAAAGAGCTCCAGCAACACCATTAAGGCTATCACACCAACCTTCGGCTGGTTCACGATATGCATGTGATACAATGGATGGACGACAGATAACGACTGGTAAATCAGAATATTTTGCATCAACCAAACATTCGGCAATAGCTTTACTGATCGTATAGGAATTAGGTCGTCCCATTAATGATGGATGTCCAACACCTGGTGTTTCATCACTATCTTCATTAATTATTTTATTGATCAATGAATCAATATCATCAACTAATGGATAAACTTTTTCTTCCACATCAATTAGATTACAATTTGCATAAGCAGTTGAAACATATACAACAATCTAATATTTTTAAATTTAAATAATAAAATATATGTTATAAAAATGAATGATATTTTAACAAAAAAAAAAATTTACCTTTAATTTCTTCATATCACGACTTAATTTCATAACCGATTCAGTGCCAAGAACATTTTGATTTACAAATTTTTTCAATGGCCCATGAAAACGTACAGTGGCAGCTGAATGGAATACAATAGATACATTATCGGTAAGTGTTTGATAATCTATATCGGATAAACCAAGACGAGGTTTTGTCATATCACCACAAATGGCAACAAGTTTCGTAAAATCGTATGTTTTATTACGTAATGTAAACACTTTAGATTTAATGATTTCTTCTTCCAATCGTTGTTGTGGTGATTTACCATCACGACTTGAACGTATTAATAGATAAATACGTTCAATATCTGGACATGAATTTAATAATTTTTCAATCAAAACTTTTCCAATAAAACCACTGCCACCAGTGACGAAAATGGATTTTCCATTATAAAATTCTCGAATCGATATCGCCGTCGTCGGTTGCCGTTGTTGTCGTTGTTGTTGTTGTTGTTGTTGGTCAATTGTCATCAATGATGATTGCATCATTTTTATTTCGTTGTTGTTGTTTGCTAAAATTGAACAAATAAATTAAATTTTCCTATAGAAATGACAATTTTAATTAGACGATGAATTTCAATATATAAAACACTTGATGAACAATGACCACAAAGACAATATATATAATGATAATGATAATGTCAAAATAAAACGAAACTAAACGAAACGAAAAAAAATTTTCAAACAACCAAATCACTGAAGATGAGTGATCATCATTTTAACATTATGACGGTTAAAAAAGAAATGAAATGTCTTATATTCAAAAAAAAAAATCGATGATGGCCGTTTTTATATAAATTGAATATATATCAGCCACATTTATCAACACATCGAATCATGGGTAAAATTAATTTGAACAATTGAATGATTTGACCATTAGATAAAAAAAAAAAAAAATACATGACTTGAAAACGTCGAAATAGACGAAATATATATATTTTTTGCTGTTCAAAAATGAAAAACAAAAAACAAAAACAAAAAAAATTTTTTTCAAACATTTGTCATAGATATTTTCTCAATTTGATGTTGTCAATGTTTTTTTGTCTGTATTGCATCTTTTAATAACTAATAACTATAACTAATATATAGTCTATTTAAATAATAAAAATAATGAATGAAACCAAACGAATGATGATAAAAAAAAGATGATGGTGATGGAATGAAGAAAATTGAAAAAGAAAGAAAGAAAGAAATTATTCAATACAGACCTTTAATGATGATTTCTAAACGGGTTAGTTTCTATTTTATCTTTTGAAATGAATTTTGAACTAAAAATTTCTAGTGAAGTTAATAATAATTTACAAATTGACAGAAATTCATAAACGATTGATATGTTATATATCGGAATAATTGATGATGATGATGATGATGATGATGTCAACAGTTATCTATGCTGTACAATGTGTGCGTGTGAGATGTAGCAATTTTTATATTGAATTTAAGTTCATCAAAAAAAAAAAAATGAATAAATAGATAACTTGCAAGTGCATTCAGACTAATACATAATAAATTCATACGAACACAAACGACAAAAAAAAAGTTAAAAAGCGATTAAAAACAAAATAAAAATGAAAATGAGAAAAACCAAGAAAAAAAATATTCAGATAAAAACAAAAATTTGCTTTATCCGACCGGATGGAATTTATATTGCTAAATTTAGAGGTATTGTTGTTGATGGGAAAAAAAGAGAGAGAGAGAGAGAGAGAAAGAAATCAAGCCATAGTGGATAGGAGAGAAAAACCCAATAGAGCGTCACATTATATCGTCACCAGAGAATGACATTTTATATTTCAATTCCAATTTTCGGAGAAAAAAAAATGTCCAATGGTTAATTTTTTTTCAAATTTGATGAAATAGTCTTTTTTTTTACTCCATTCATTCGTTTGTTTGTACGTTGTTTGAATGAATGAAGAAAAAAGTTTTCTTTTCGGTTGGTTTACCTATTATTATATTAGTAATTACTGTCGTTGTCGTTTTTGTCGTTGTTGTTGTTGTTGTTGTTGTTTATAACACCTTGATAATTATAATTTTTTTTTGTTGTTGTTGTTGTAATTCTATTCCAGTTTTTTTTCTAAAAACAATCCATAAATAATGATAAAAATCAATTGTTAAAAAAAACACCAACACCAACAACAACAACAACAACAAAAACCAAAAATAAAACAACCAAAATGCTTGACATTGAATGTTGTCGGATTACCTGTTTTGTTGTTGTTGTTGTTGTTGTTGTTGAGTTGTTCGTAAAAACAAAAAAAAATCGTACCACTCTCTTTGTCATTTTGTTTTCATTTTTTAACAATTTATATATTTTTTTTGGATAATGGTAATCGATTGTTGTTGGTGTTTTTTTTTTGTTTTTTGAACAAAAGAAAAAAAAAAATTCAGACCAAAAATGGTGAGTGAAACGAAGGTGAAAAATGAAATCAAAAAAAAAACTCGTCCTTGCTCAGGTTTTTTTTCACGTTGTTGTTTAAATGCATTGAATGTAATGATGTTGATGATGGAAAATATTTTATTGAAAATGAATTTTTTGTTTTCTGTTTACAAAGATCGAATGTCAAATAATCGATTAATTTGTTATTGAATGATTGCTCAATATTTTTGTTTTAATTTTATTTTATTTTTCTTGCTTTCAAATATAAAAATGGACAAAATAACTACTTAAATGTCATCATATTGGTTCTAATCATATGATCAAGAATATTCTGGCCAATTCCATAATTTTCATGTTCACACACACACACACCACTTAAAGATGAACTAGAACAACCAAAAAAACCACAACAGATTTGGTGGATTAAATTTTAAAAATTCTCTTATTTGTCTGGACTAAGGTCATAATATACAAGCGCTAAGATGAAAAGAAATGAAAAAAAAATCCAAACAGAATGGATTAAAGCAATTATGAAAACTTCCATTTTGAGATTATAATATTTTCTACTACTAATCATTGATTTGATTCCATTTACAAAATGACGCTTGTAATGGATTAAATTCTAGAATTTTCTGATCCAATGTCAATTGATCGTGTTGTGTGCGTGTGTGTGTGCGTGAGTACACCGGAATGTTGTTGTTACATGATGAAAAAAATGGTGATAAAATTTTGAAATAAAATAACAACAACAACAACAACAACCAAATATAAAATAGAAAATCGAAAAAAATTGATTTTTTTCTAATCAATCTATTTTCATTTTATTAAGAATTTCATCTTTTTATTTTATTTTTTTTATTTTTATTTTTTTGATTGCAATTGACAGGCCCAATTTTCATGTGATCAGCAAATTTTTTTTCTCATTGAAAATCAATACTAAAAAAATGAAAACTGTGATCTGTAATTGATTGATTGTGAATGAATTAGAATTGAATTTAAAACCAAAACAAAAACGAAAAAAAAAATTGATAATGGATTGATTTTTTTTTGGATTCTTTCACCATCCTACAGAATTTTTGTTTTTCTTTTATTTGAATTAAAAACAAACAAGTATCACAATCATCTATGAACAACTTCTACATGGAATTATGGATTCGTATTTTTTTTTCTTCTTGTACATGTATGATATACCAATTGCGTATGATTTTAATTCACAATGGAAAACAAACAAACGAAATTCTTTTTGTCTACATGTGTAAATACTACTACCATATATTACATGAATGAAATGAACAATCCAAACATAGAAAAAATAAGTGGAATCCATGAAAAACATTTACTTTTTTTTTGATTTTGGATTTTCTTCATTTTCATTCGGTTTTCGACCCCGATTATTTTCTTTTTTTTTAAGTAGGGGCGGTCCATGTTATTATTATTATTCTCTGTATCATAATGATGATGATGATGATGATGATATTTGACGATAACGGTAGCAATATGGAACAATCATGGCATATAAAAACTGTTCAACAAGAAAGAAAAAAAATCAATCGAATCATATAATTCGAACAAGTTGATTTGATGTTTGTATTTTTGAATCTAATTGTGATTAAGAATTGTGAATGTACTATTTTTGTTGAAATGATTGATTGATTGATTGATTCAATCTTTTTTTTGTTTAGATATATAAGCAAAAAACATTGAATAAATGAATGAAATATTTATATACGAATCATCTGCGAAATAATTTTGTTGTTGACGTTGTCGTTGTTGTTGTTGTTGTTATTGCAACGGTTTTTTTTATCTTCGTAAAAAGGTTATTTTCTTTCTTCACAATCCAATTTTTTTATCAGCAACCATTGACGCAACCCGTGACATTCAAAAATTGAACACGAAAAAAAATGTCAACAATTGTAATGAATAGGAAATCAAAAATGTTGTCAATTGTAGCGACAATAATCGGCTGTTTGTGCCATTTGATCAATGTCAACAATGATGGCGTCATGGCAACATTATCAAGTAATGAAAATAATGCTGAAAATGGTGGAATTAATGGTGAAAATTTATTTCCAATTTATTCATCATCATCATCTGATTCTACAGCCGAAGATACAATGATGATTAAATCGAATAAAAATAACATAAATTTTGATAATTATGAATCAATCAATTCATTATTACCAATTGTTTCGTCATCATCATTATCATCATCATCGATGATGCCAATTAAAATTGAAACACGTGGTGCAGAAAAACAACATTATTGTGGTGAAAATCTAATCAAAGCATTAGCACTTTATTGTAAAGGTTATTATGCAAATAAACGAACATCTGGATTATCCAAATCAATTAATCCAATTGCAGAAGGTATGGTGTTGAAAAAAAAGATTTGTTTTTATATGAAAATCGAATAAATTAACTGTTTACTATTTTTTTTTCTTTTGTTTAACACAGAAACAATTGACATTTATTCAATTAAAGATCATCAAAATGAACCAATATATAAAAATAGTGTACAGGATAATAATGTCGATAATGATGTCGATTTCAATGATATGAATCTATTATTAATGGTTAATGGTAATACTAATAATGATAATAATAATAATAATAATAATAATTTTGGCGAATTAACCTGGTTTGATATATTGAATATATTAAAATATTCACATCAACAACAACAACAGCAACAACAACAAAAACAACATCAATCAACACAATTTTATAATAATAAAATTAATAACAATAAGAATACAAATCAAGATTTAATCGATTTCTTAGATACATATTCACGATCATCATTGTCATCATTACAGAATCATAATAATCACAATCGTATACAAAGACCAAAACGTGGTATCGTTGATGAATGCTGTAAACGTCCATGTGGATTAAAAACATTAAATCAATATTGTGGTATACGTAAACGTCCAACATATTAAAATTTATTAATTTTGTCAAATATTAATTCTCATATATATTAATCTCAAAGAAGTAGTTGCCAAAAACAAAAAACAAAAAACAAAACAAAATTTTTTCCTGATATACAAATTATTCATTCATTCATTCATTCATTCACACTCATTGATTCACTAAAAAAAAACTAAGTGAAAACAAATTCATCATTATCATTTGAAATCAATTCTAGTCGACAAAAATATTGAAAAAAAATTGAACACAACAAATTGATCAAACAAAAAAAAAAAACAGAGAAAGAAAGAGAGCGAAAAAAACGGAATTTAGTTTGTTCAAAATGGACTCTATTGAATTCTTAAAAAATTCAACGAATTAACTTGTTAAATTTTTTTTAATTTTTATTTTTGAATCAAGAAAAAAATATGAATTGAATGCTAAACAAATGCATTCGTTTGTTGCTATTTTTTCAATTAATCATCATCACCACAACACATAAGTGGGTGCCAATTTTTTTTTTTTTGTTTCGTATCATTTTCAAATTCTAATTTTGATTAAAAATTGATGAAAAATTTCTGAATTTCTAAATCATCAAATCATTATGAAATGAGAAAAGAAAATTTTATTCTATAATTCAAATAATAAAAATAAAAAAAAAAATTTATGATTTATAAAAATCAACCCAAAAAAAAAAAACCGTTTATTATTGATTTAACATGTTCATTATTATCATTACAAGATACGAGATGGCGCAATCATCTCGACCGATTGATTTTAAATAATCAAAACAACAACAAAAATGTGAAAAAAAAAGAAAAACATGATGAAAATTTTTCGGCCTGGAAAAATTTTATATATAATCATCACTTAATATTTATTATTATTATAACATTTATATATCAATGACTTAGTGTAATTGTTTTGTGTATGGGTGTGTGAATGAGAAAGAATCGTGCAAAATATTTGTGTAATTGTCAATTGTTCAAATGACGATTTCCATGGTTGCCCACACCAAACGAAAGAGGATTTATTTTACTAAATAATGAATGAATGAATGATGATGATATTCGTTGCCGATCAAACGAATCCATTTATCGATATTTATGAATATTATTGAAATATGCATACACACACACACGTGGTTTGAGTTTTTTTTTTTTTTTTGTTTGTTTGTTTTTGTTTCAGAATCACAATTATATTTATTATTATTATTTTATTATTATTATTATGCTTTTTGTATGAATCGTTGATCGGCATTAAGTTCAATTTCATTCTTGATCAACAAACGTCTTGCAAACTTATTTTTTGCCTTTATACTAAATGAATATATGAGAAATAGTATGAGGAATAATATCTGATATATTAATGATATTGATGATGTAATGCCATCCGTATTATCATTCTGTACCATAATCGATGATGTTGTCGATGTTGACGATGATGATGATGATGATGATGATGATGTCGATAAATGATGAAAAAGTCCAACAATCATAATAATATTATAGAATAGGCTCAATTTAAAATGTTCAAATATGATGCTACAGATTAATCCAACTTCGATTAAAATCGATATAACAGCAACGAATAGCATGCTAATTTGATCTGTTTGAAATGAAAAAAAAAAAACAATCGTTAATTATGCATTTCTATGAAAATAATGGGAAAATTTCCATATGCAATCATTTCAATATTGGATCAATCAATTTGATTGATTATTAAAATCAATCGATTCAAAAACGATTGACAACAACCATGATAATTATTATTTTTCCTTATGCAATCATTCAACAAGCGTCTTAATGATAGTGATGATGATGATGATGATGATTTTTTATTAAAATTTTATTAATTATGAAATTAATTATTGTCGCATTTATGGTCATCATCATCCATCAATTTAATGGAAAACTTTTTCGTTGAAAAATTTTTTCCGAAAAGTTTTTTCTTCTCTTTTACATTTGAAAAAGAAGAGAGAAAAAGAAATAAAGAAAGAAAGAGACAGACAGACCTTAGAAAATTCAAAACAATACAATTGACCATCAGGTCAAGGATGATGGCGATGAATTTACAGATCATTTCATTTCATTTCATTTCTCTTTCATTTTTTTTATACCTGCATATAACTGTTTCTGTTTCTGTGTATTCAAGTTGAATTTTTGTTCATCCATGTTTTCAGTATTGAGCATTATAACACGGTATATATAATATATAATAATATATTTATTGAACAGAAAGAAAGAAAGAAAAAATCGATAAAACAAGGATACACAAGACTGAGTTTCATTGCTTCACATTTGTCTCTCTCTCTCTTTGTGTATGCATGTGTGTGTGCAATAATAATTTTCATTGCCAAAAATTTCAATAATTTTCATTTTCAACTTTTGGATCCTTTTTTTTACTCCTTTTCACTGTCTTTGCATTTTTTTTTCTCAATGCCTGTCTGATTTTTTTTTCGTTGTTTTGTTGTTGTTGTTGTTGAAGTATTAATAATAGTGTTATTGTTATTTTTATTATTGTGAAAATAAAATTGGAAGAGTTATGTGTGTATGTGTTTACAGACATGAATGTCAGTCTTAGATATTTTGATGATGATGATGATGATAATAATTTTCATTGCCAACGTAATTACATTTCAATTTTCTTCATTTGTCTGTATCTTTCAATATTCATTATCCATTATCATTATCGTCATCATCATCATCAAATGGTTGCACTTGTCCATCATCATAATCAATGTTCCACTATTAGCACTTTTTTTTCTTTCTTTTTTCGATTCATAATCATAATTGTTGTTGTCGTTTTTTTATAAAAAAAAAATATTCTCTCTCTCGCTTTCTTTTTTTTTTTTGTTCTCTTTGACGTATTTTCAAACTAAATTCATGCTAAACTAATTATTTGTTTTTTTTGTGTGCCGTGTATATGTATTGAATGAATGGTTGGATGCATGTGAATGTCTTGGACAGAGAGCAAAGAAAAAAACGAGATATTTTTTTTTTTTTGAAATATTTCATTATCGTTTCGTTGTGGTTTTTTGTTGTTGTTGTTGTTGTTGTTGTTGTCATTCTCATCAATCGATTGACAACATTCATTTGAGAGAGTGAAAGTAATGAAAAAACATAGAGAGACCTTTGTGAACATGTGTGATGCTTATGATGATGATGATGATGATGATGAATAAAACACAAGAGACAGTGGGATACACAAGATAAGAAAAAAAATGAATAAATCCGAAAAAAAAAAAAAAACTGACCGAGGTCAATATCATTCCTAAATCAATTTTTGTTTTCGATGCTAAAATTTCGAAACAAACATTCTGTTAAAATGTTTTTTTTACCACTTCACAAACCACTATTTGTTCGTACGAATAACTTGTTTGATTTATTTGTGAAGAGGGTAGAAAGAAAAAAAAAAAAAAAAAACACCATGGGTAGTTGCTAGAATTGGATTGACTAGGAATTAATGTGATACAATAAAAAAAACTGAACTGAACATGAAATTGATTCAATAATTTTATATTTGAACAAAAAAAAATGAACTTGATAGGAATTTCCCCAGGTTCATAAACATTTATCAATCTATTCAATTTAATCATTCAATCATTCATTCATTCATTCATCCATTCGAAGAAAACATTTCATATTACCTCTTCTTCATCGTTGAAATCATTTACAATTACATGAACATTGTACAGATTGTACATTTATTTTTTTTCATCGATTCTAATGATAAATTTGTCCATGAAAGAAAAAAAAAGAAAAAAAAATAAAACAAAAACAACAACAAAATGACAAAAATTGCATAAATTAAATCGTTAATAATTAGCTATTTATAGTATTGTTTCAGAAATGTTTTCAATCTCCAAATGTACTGATTGATGATTATTTTATTTTTAGATTGAATATCAATTGATAATTGAAAATTCAGAATTTAATGTAACAAAATAATTGATTAAATAATACTTACAGCTATGTAATTTGCCTTGATGATCATCAATCGCTATAGTGGATTCCAATCGATATAACATCGATAGATTGATTTCATTTATACCATAAAAATTCATAATGGAACGATAAAATTGTAGATTTATATTTGATTCATTGTTTGTATCAATATTGGACGTTGTTGTTGATGTTGTTGTTGTTGTTGTTGTTGTTGTTGTACCAATCATATGTGCTTCATAATAAGCATATGTACCAATGAATAATAGAACAATACTCATCGATAATGAGAATAATGAAAAACCTAACATAAATTTTGAATAATAACGGAAAATGGATAAAATTCCTGTTGAATTTTCATTATCAATCATTGAACGTGATGATTTAATTCGGGCATTTGTTTGCCCATTTAATCGCATTGTTTTTCTCATTTTTTTTTGTTGTTTTGTAGATCTGGTTTTGTATTAGAATATTTGATTAGAATTGAATAAGATTCGTTGAACAATTTTGTTTGTTGTTGTTGTTGTTGTTGTTGTTCAATAATAATAATAATGGAAAAATTTGTCGTTTTATTGCCGTTTTATTGGCGGTTTTTTTCCAATTCGGATGAAAAAAAAATTTCACTGCAAAAAAAGGGCTGCAACTTGTAGATGTGATCGATTGAATATATGAATAACGTCAAATTTTTGGGATAATACAGAAAGAATGAAATAAAATAAAAAAAATAAAATAACTGTCATCAACCACAAAAAAAAGGATGTCCAAACAATCACTTATTGTGTAGACATTTCATTGGACAATGAGATATCTACAAACGCACAGGAAAAAAATGACATTCAAATCAATTTTAATATCAAATAAATGAAAAAAAAATTTATAATATGCTTGGTGGGTGATTGGTCAATAACGAAATTTTTTGTTGTTGTTGTTGTTGTTGTTGAATTCACAATTTCTGAATGAATGAATTGAAATCGAATTGAGAAGAGGGGAAAAAACGGAATTATGAGCAAATATCCTGTTTTTATTTATTCTGGAAATTCCTTTCTATATCGAACGGTGATTGATGAACAAAACAAATGAAAATTCCACGAAACAAATTGAAATGAAGTGAATGTTTGATTTGGTTGTGTGTGTGTGTGTGTATGTTCGAGGCTTCAATATTTTTTTTTCTATTTCTCTAAATTTCTTTCGATGAAGCAATAGAATTTATAAATTTTTTTTTGTTGTAAATAAATTTAAAATTTAATTTGATGAAATCACAGATTTTTTGCTCTTCAATTTATTCAGATTGATCATCATTATGAATGACACATGGAACACATCAAATATTCATTCACTGGAACACAATTAAATCGATTGCATGTGTGCATGTGTGCATGTGTTTGTTTGTATGTATGTTAGACCATCAAAACATCATCATTATCGATAAAAAAAAGTAAAGAAAATAAAACTGTATATATATGTCTATGTGTTTCAATCAATCAATTTGAATCGATTTAATAATCATGATGATAACGAATGTAGGAAAACAAAACGAAAAAAAAATCATGGAGAAAAAGAGAAAAAAAATCTATCTATCTCTTTATTTGTTCCAATCAGATATGATATTTTTCTCTTTCTATTTCTCTTGTTTGTTCGTGTGCATTTCAAGTGTATAGATGATGATGATGATGATGATGATTACAACTTGTTGCTGGAACAATGAAAAAATCATAATCATAAAAAGAAATCTTTTCTAGTTTTCTCTTATTTTTCAAAAAGAAAAATTATTTATAAGTATGAAATTAATCATCAAAATATACACATATTATGTTGGCATATTATTGGACATTTTTCTTTTATATTTTCATTCATATATATATTATGAAGAAAACAAAAAACAGAACAACAACAGCAACAATAACAGCAAAACTGAAAATTGAAGGATTTTCCTTTCATTGATTTTTTTTTGTTGTTGTTGTTGTTGTTGTTGTAATGGTCGTCGTCGTGTTGTTGTTATTGCTGCTATTTGAAAATAAATTATTGACGAAATCGTCCAATGGTTCTTTTATAATTATGATGATATGGATGGATGGATGGAAGGATGGATGGATGAAAGTAAAACAAAGATGGTGACGATGATGATGATGATGACGATGATGATTAAAATATTTCAAAATACCATTATTTACAATAATGGTATGAACGTAAATGAATAAAATGGCGATTGTGAAATCTGTGAACAAACAAACAAATATCAATTCGCATGCGCAATTAGATTTGAACAAATTTTTTGTTTTTATTCAAACAAGAATTCATCTTATTTGAAAATCATCATCATCATCATCATCATCACCATCATCAACAATATCCAAAAAAAGTGACTGTATCAATGGGTTATCACTGGATCTTCATCGTCATCATCGTCATCATCAATCAATAGAGTGATAGATTAGAAATAACAAAAAATAACATCAATACGTTTTTACGTTGATCTGTTATTTAGGCTACCCATTTTATCAATCATCATTAGCATAATAAAGCAATAGCATGGGTAGAATGTAAAAACACACATATATAGCTTAACAATCAATCAATCAATCATTTTTTTTTCTTTAGTTTGTTTTTGTTATCAACAAAAATAATTACTGATTAAAAACTTATACTGATATATGATATTTGTTTTTCAGAAAAATTTCTTCTGAAAAATATAAAATTCATGTTTTCATATGTTTTATTTTCCATTTTTGGTTTCATAAAACATATATATATATATATATATATAAAATCAAGAGAACAAGATAATAATAATCTGTTTCTTTAATTTTGAATGGCAAATTGAATTTTATTCCTTTGAAATACAGCATATTTTGATCTAGATAATCATCATTTTTTTTTTTTAAAAAAATGGTCCTTGTACTTGAATATTGTGAATACATAAATTGAGTAAGAACGAGAAAAAAAACCCAATAATGAACAAACAAACAAACAAACAAAAAATTCATTCTCACTTGAATTAACTGATCAATGTTATTTTCATTTTATTTTATTTCATTTTTTTGCTATAATTCAATTCAATTCATTCATGTGTGTGTGTGTGTGTTCATGTTAATGATGATCATGATTAATGTAACAGCAACGACAATGGGGAAAAAAATCTGAAGACAAAAAAAAAGCGAACAATGTTGATAATCAAATGAATTTATAATGATAATTAGAATATTTATCTGATTGAATATCATATATGATTGATTGATTGATTCTGTCTGTCTGTCTGTCTGTCGATCCATTTTTGGTTTTTGTGATTACAAATTCTGATATATAATAATTATAATCTATATATATAAGTATATTTTGATGCTAGATTGTTGTATTTATAGAATGAAAAAAAAATCGATAATGTGATCAAAGAGATGAGAATGTAATCAATAATGTGTAAAATGATTTGTACGTAAAATCCAGATTTTAGAACGCAAAACAATTCAAAGGAAATTAAATTCAAAATTGTTCAATGTTGAATGAATGAATGATGATGTCAATCAAAACGAATAAACGGAATTCGAAGAAAATCGATGATGATAATGATGATGAGAAATTGATTATTGAAAAAAAAATGAATTAATCGAATGAATGATTTTAGGTTATATATTGTTTTTGGTTCAAATTTCGAAATAATTTGATAATTTGCTGTTGTCTGTGTGTGTGTGTCACTAGGAAGTGAATGTATGTTTATGCATCTGCGTAGTATGTTTGTATTACACATTACATAATGAATAATAATGATGGTTGTTTTTTTTTTTTTTTTGGTCACAAATTTTGTTTTGAATAAACTACGTTGTTAATTTTTTTGTTTTTGTTTGAAATTTGGTTTTTTTTCAATAATAATAATAATTTTTTTTTCGCCATTGACTTTTGATTATATTGGTTTGTTTTCAATCAGATTATGAATCCAGATTTAGTATGAATGAATGAATGAATGAATGTTGTTTTTTAATGTATAAAATCGTGATGAAAGAGAAAAAAAAAAATGAAAAAAAGGAAAAATTTCTGATTTGTTTTGGCAATTTGATTTCCTGTTTTCAATATTTTTATTTTTCTTCATGTATTGTGTGTGTGTGATGAGCACTATGATGATGATGACGACGATGATGATGATGATGATGATGACGATGATGGCCAGAATAAGAAAGACTGAAAATCAGAAAAAAAATTGATGAATGAAAAAAATCAAAGTGAAAAAGAGACGAATTCCAATCATTCATCACAATGATAATTGACTTAGTTATTTATTTTTTTTTTTTTTCGTTGGTCATGACAATGCTAATGAGATGGAATTTAAATAATAATAATAATTTTTTTTGGTGTTATTGAAAGGAAATTTCGAGAAAGGAAAAAAAATATATCAATCAATGTAGTTATATATTTCCTAAATGTATTTTGGTTTGTTTGTTTATTCACTACTTTGTTTTGCTGTGTTATATTGGTATTTTATCAAACAAACACCAACAACAACAACAACAGCAAGAAAACATCCCGTTGATGACGTAAATGAATATTATATGGACATGATTTTTTTTTTTTTTGTTTGTTTCACTAATTAATTAAATAAATCAAATATATATGGCAATCGTTTAAATAATGATGACGATGACGATGATGATGATGATCACAATCTAGCCATTTTTTGTGTAATGTTTTTTCATTTGTGAATACTGAAAATTCTTTTATCTTGTCCTGTATTTATGTCATTGAATATGTGTGTATTTGTGTGTGTGGTAACTGAATTGTTCATAAAATAAAATACTTTCTGTATTGAAATAACATTAAATCATAATAATAAGCATATGTATAGGATGGTAAGATGAGATTATTATTATTATTAGTTTTTTTTCCAAGAGAGAACGCAAGATTAGTAGATAATATGATGAAGAGAAAATGTTTAAAATTTTTGTTTGAAAAAAAAAAAAATTTTTCCGATAACATCAACAGCGATAATTTATAAAGTGATGATAAAATTAACAAATTAATAACAATTTTCCAATATTCATCTTCATCATTGTTCGTTTGTTTTGTTTCATTTCATTTTCCTGTAAACATTTTCATCACAACACCATGTGATTCATTAATTTGTCCATTTTTTTTCTTTAATTCAATACAAATTGAATGAATATTTTTTTTCAAATTCTTCATAACAAATCATCATTTAAATTATTCTTGAAAAACATTTGATTGATTGATGATTGAATGATGATTGATGATGATGGTGATGATGATGATGATGATGATGAAATGATTTTATGAGATTGTTGATAAATAATCCATATTCTTATCCGATTGTTACATATACACCATATATGAATATATATGGTGGTTATAATGTATATAAATATGATGGCTGATTTTTTTTTTGATCGTTGTACGTTTGTTGAATAAATAGTGAAAATGAGAGATTGAAGAATTTTTTTTTTTTTTGGTGTGGTATTCTTAGAATTGATACCATTTCTTATCACGATATTTGAGCATAACAGCATGTGCCATACTGCTGAATGCTTCAGCTTCATTTTGCATACGAGCTGTATTATCTTCTAATTTACCAAGACGTTCACCACGTTCGGATAGGCCCTATTTTTTTTTTAGAAAAAAAATATGAATAAAAGAAATTCACAAAGAATTGTTGATATTACCTCTTTTAATTTAGCAAATTCACCACCAATAGCACTGGATTGTGATTTAGCATGTTCAATTGACCCTGGTATTAAACGTGCCATTGTTTTGGGCGCTTTACCGGCATTCGTTTCACCGAACAATTCCTCACGATCTAATGGTGTCGGTGTGCCACCAAAAAAACCTTTTAAAAATGATTGTTTGGGCGGTTCGGGTAATTCTTTTGGACCAGTATATACTGAACCAATCATATCGGGTAAATTGTCACAGAATGATGCCAATATTGTGAATTTTGTCAACTCTGATGGTGATGATAGATACATTCCATGACCATTTACACTAAAAAGTATTGTTCGTGCAATTCTAAATGAAAAAACAAAAGAAAAGAAAAATAAATTTGTAAATTAAAATCAAGAGAAATTAATTAAATTCACATACCTGACATCAGTTAATGGTAAAAAATCATTATCAATTAAGATACGTAGACTTGGCAAACTATAGACTACAATGTTGCCGGTGCCCAGATATACTGCTAAACAATAAGCATCTATGATTTTGAATGAATGCAGAAAAAAAACATCAATGAATTAAGATAAGAGAAAAACAATATTTTTGATTCAAACCTTGATTCTTAATAAATACAAGATCAGCTCGTACAGCAAACGATGTTTCAGTGATGACAGCTTTTTGAGCACAAATCTGTTGAGGCATTACAATCAAACGAATTTGTTTTTCCGATGTTAACACGACCAAATGTGAATCTCGTACATCGGTTGTACTAGATGTGGGCGATGTTTTCGTCATTCGATTGCTTGCCGAACCACCACTACCTGTACGAGTGATAGTCAATGATCCGGTACGTTTATTTGATTCACCAGTGCTTGTCGGTGTTGAAGTTTCATTTCGTTTATTATTATCTTTCCATGAATCAGCAGATAATGGTAGGCTACACCCATTTAGATCAAGAAATCCAATATTCAATATTGAACCTTTCAAACGAAATATGGTCGCTATAAATGAATTGTGAATGTAAAAAAAAAAAAAAATGAATTAGTTCCAATCATTCTTTGATTCAAATATGATTGACACTTACGACTAGGTGTTGCTAGAACAGTTTGCAAACATAGAACACGATTGTCCATGCTATCGGGCATTGTCAATGTAATGACAACTACAGTACCACAACTTGTACCCACCCAAAGTGTTGGACTGGGACAAGTATCTAAATGACAAAATTCATCATTCAAAAAAAGTAAACAAGATCAATTATCAACAACAGAAAAACCAATCGAAACATACCAGTTTTGAGAACATAAGTATTGGCAAATATCAAAAATTGAACTGGTTCACTGCCAACATTCTCCAGGCTAGACATACTGGAGCTTCGTGATCGGGTAAAGCTTTCAATTTTGTCTACAATGAATGTATGACATTCACGAATCCAAATAAATCAATCAAATAATAAATAAATATATGACATTTGATTAGCATTATTATATTCATCTTCATACACATTTTTTTTCATTAAAAAAAAGATATAAATAGGAAAAAAAGGAATGAACTTGAGAGAAAAGATTTTTTTTTTTTTTGGTTTGTCTTTGTCATAGGTTGACTTAATAGAACAACCATTGAAAAGACATTCATTAGATTACATATATGGAAATAAGGAATAGAATTTGATATATACTAGGAATTCTCAAACATCAAACATAATATAAATATATGATTAACAGGCAAAACTACTACTATAGTAGTGTGAAAAAAAAGCCATGCAAAACATGAAGAAAAGAAAAAAATCGATAACAACAACAAGAGTTGCATTTCAGAACAAAAAAAAAAGCAAAAAAAAGCTGAAAATCAATAGCAATCAGATTCAAAGCAAATCGATCATCGTCACATAAATTATTTATCTATATATATTCACACAAAGTGATGTGATCAGTTATTAGCCATAAAAAAAAGCGAAAATTAATTTTGATTATATATAAATCAAAAAAAAAAGAAAATTTTTCTTCAAAGCTGAATGTTTTTTTTTTTTTGTTGTTGTTGTTAGTTCATTTTTCCTAATATTTTTAAATTTTTTTTTTATTATTATTGTTCCAAATTCATGTTATTCAGTTGTTTTGTTAGTAGTATAGTTGAATTATTATGGATAAATGTTTATTTTTTTTTTTTTTTTTGTTCTTGTGGACAGGTGTGTATGAATGTGAAAGCGTTGTGTGTAGGTGTGTGTGTGTTACGAAAAATAGAATGAAATGAAAGATAGAGAAAAGAAGAGAGAGAGAGAGAGAGAAAGAGAGAGAGAGAGAGAGAGAGAAAGAGAGAAAGAGAGAGAGAGAGAAATTGGACATTTTTCTTTTTTTTCTTTTTAGTGATCAATAACAAATCATGCGAAAAAATACTATTATTATTATTATTATTGTTATTATTTTCAAAAAATTCAACAACATCAAGAATATGTCAAAATCATATATGAATGAATACCGATAAATCGACACTCGATCCAACACCTATGCACCAAACACCAAACACCAAACAACAACAACAACAACAACAACACACACACACACACATTTCATGCATACATCAAAACTTTCTCATTTTTTTTTATTTTTCCAAAAAAAAAAATTTCAGTTTAACTGCAAGCAAACTTTCATATATATATTATATGTATTAAATTCAATCAACAACGGAGAAAAGTAGGAAAATTACATGCATGATATGAGTCAAAAGTGAATTTATATATTTAGGAAAACGAAAAACACTCAAATAGAAAGGAATCAATCAAAACAGAATGCCAAACATTTTGAAAATTCTTCTCTATATTTCACATGTATACAAATATGACGAATAGAATGGAAGGAATTTGTGTTTTTCTTTTTTTTTACATTTTGGATCCAAAAAAGAGAATTTTTTTGTTCCTTTCTAAACACTTAAATGGATCGTCGATCGACCAGCAAAAAAAAAAATTTGACCAATATTCCACACAATGTGAAACTCAATGTTGCAATAGGAAGAACAAAACAAATGTTAGTCATGAAGGGCAAACTAGAAAAAAATGGCGTCCATTCTCATCAACATTTTCATCTATCTACGGAAAAAAAGGGCCATTGGTCAATTTCAAACAGACAAAAAAAAATACTTTAATGAAAAATGAAAGATGCATCCACCGAATAGTAGGCGCAACAAAGCAATTTTTTCATGACAACTATATACGCACACTCACACTGGAATTGGAAAGCCAGCGAAAAAAAAAATTATTTTCTTCCATTTTCCATTTTTTTGGCCATTATCATCATCATCATCATCATCGTAATGGTTTGGTCAGTCGGTCAAATTTACTACACACACACACACACAATGAATTCAATGAATTTTTATTTTTTTTTTTTCTTCCTTTTTTTGTTGAAAATAAAAAATACTTGATATCAAAAATTTATGAGAAAATTTTCATTGGAAAAAAGCCAATATCTTTTGGCCAAAGAGCCGCACTGTATGGGTACAATGAATGGTATTGGACATGAAAAGAATCGACGTTTTTTTTCAACATTTTTTTCTGGTTTGATATGAATGAGTGGTCGTTTTCTGACCGAACTAGCCGAATGACGGACAAAAAAAAAACATGATGATGATGATGACAAGAGAATGGGTGAAAAAAAATATAGACGAAACAAATCAAATAAGCTTGACAAGAATGATGAAAAAAAAGGAATAAGTTGGGAAAAAAAACAGAACAGAATAGAATGAAATAGAATATTAAATAAAATCAAACAAACAAACAAACAAGAATTTATTCTAACATAAATTATAACAACATTATTGAATTGATGAATAAATGAATGAATGGAACGGAAAAAATGGAAAAAAAATTGTTTTCATTTCTAAATAATAACTTTTATTAATTCTATTCTGGATCAAAATTTAACGAACAAAAAAAATGTCATTTTTCTTTTTTGCTTTTTTTTGTCCAATTCTGGACATGATGGCCATTTGCAAAAAAAAAAAAAAAATGAATTCACGTGAATTTCATTTCTTCTTCGACATTATGATTTCAATTTGAATTTGGAAAATTTTGCAAATCTATATCCATCCATATGCATTGGCGTGGGGATATACGCCAACGGCCAAAAGGAATGAAAAAAAAAACAAATGAACATGCAACAAAAAATGGCAAAACGAAAAGAAAAAAATCGGAAAAAAAGTTAAAAATTTAAAATATCGATCGTATTCACTCGGAAACTGTTTGACACAAACAAACTCAATCACAAAAAAAAGCTTTTTAGGATACTTTTAAAAATTTAAATTGACTTTTTCCGTTCAGTATAAAAAATTTTCATTATTATAACAAATAAATAAATGAATATATGGGAAAAACACACACACACACACACACACACTGGCAATTCTTCATAATTTTGTAATGTCAAAACGAAATTTTTTTTTTTTTGGTCTGTTTTTGGCTGTTTTTATATTCAGGCTTAATATATGCAACAACAAAAAACAAAACAAAACGAAACCATATAAAAACCATAATAGCAAAACAACAACAACAACAATAAAAACAAATGAATAAGAACAATCAAAATCGATAAACACGAAACAAAACAAAAAAAACAGAAAAAAAAGAATCAGAATCAAAGTCAAAATAGAAAATTGGCAAATTGATGTGGAGTACAACGGCAACAACAACAACAACAACAATTATAATTGAATATATCGTAAGACAAAGTTTGAATAATTATTTTTTAAAGAATCGTTTCCGTTTTTTTTTTGGTATTTTACACAAATGATCATCATGATTCGACAAGTAAACAACAACAACAACAACAACAACAACAAAAGGCTCACCAAATCGCTGAATCAAAATCGGTAGTCACTATATTCGAGCTAATTAATATTGATTGATTAATCGTTTGATTATCATTCTCTCTTTGTCGCTTTTATTTTGTAAGGAAGGAAAGAATAAAATCAAACGAAACTATGATCGATGAAAAACCAATGAAAAAAAAAGAAATCTTGATCAAAAAAAAAAAAAAAAAATAAAAATAAATGTCGATGTCGAGGAACAATTGATTCGAAAATATTTCATGTCTTTGTTTTTTCTTCAATTTTTTTTGTATTCTATGCATATATATGTATGGTATATGAGTGTGTGTGTGTGTGTGTGTGGGTGTGTGTATGTCAACTCCGCTTTTTTTATGAATAAAAAATTATCATCATCTAATTCATATATTCTAGCTAAATAGCTTGCATTCTATTATTATGCATCTATTGTGGATTATGATGATTCTATACTATTGTTTGTGATTATTAAAAAAAAAAAAAATCTTGAATCCTAAAATTGAGTGAGGAATTGGTTTTGTTGTTGTTTTTTTTTCTTTTTGACAATTTGGGCAATAATAACTACACATATAGAGTGATCATAATACTAGCACATAGCTTTGCTAATATGAATGGATATGATGCAACTGGGAACAAAAAACTACAATTATAATTCCAAAAAAAAAACATGGTATTGGATTCAATGTTATCTATTCTAAAGATGTGTGGATGGATTGAAATTAAGCCATCAATAAAGGTTGATATTGATCATCATAATAGGGATGGATATAGAATAATAATTTCGATTAAAACAAGAAACGGGATGAAAATAACAGAAAAACCAAACAAAACAAAACAAATATGGAATCAATTTTTCGTTTTCAAAAAAAACTTATCAATCTATATTGATACTACATTTACAGAACTACTAACTAATAATGAAAAGGATTTTCAACAACTACATAATGGATTTGATTTGATTGTATCAAAATATAAAAGTGGGAAAAAAAGGAAAGAAACAAAAAACAATCAATGAGCGACAACAAAGAACGACAACAACAACAACATCGACAACAACAACAAGTACAACAACAACAACAACAACAACAACAACAACTACTATCCACCTGATCCTAATTGGACGCCATGATGTAAATGATGGTGATGGTGAAGCCCGATATGATTTATACTACTCGAATTGATGAGCCTGTCGGACGCATCAGTATGATGATGGTGATCACCACGATGGTCAGTAGCAATTGATGCTGGCATAATCATCATACTCTGATGTATGGTATGCATCATTTGTAACTTGTTTCGAGTACCTTGAGAACGTGAACGTTTCAGCTCGGTATTCACTATGGATTGTGGAATCGCTTTTGAACGTGATATATTCGATGATGATGTTGATGTGGCTGACGTTGCAGCAGCAGCAGCTGCGGACGATGACGCTGTTGCCGATGGTGATGTTGATGAAAGTATTGTCGATGTTGCCGTACCTAATGATGACGGCGAACATCCACCACTTCCACCACTTCCTGTAGCACCCAATGAACCATCAAAATTCGTAGATGATGATAATGAACTATGATGATGAAAACCTGAATTACGATTGCCGCCTATTGTCGTTGGACTCATACAAACATCCTTTGAACAAAAAAAAGATTTCATGGAATGATTTCAAAAGAAAAAATCAGAAAAAAATAGATAGAAAGAAAGAGAGAGAGAAAGAGGAAAAGAGAAAAAAGAAAGAAATAAGCAAAGTAATAATGTAATGTAATTAGAGACAAATTTTCGCAAAAAAATTGTAAATTATTGATAGATATCAATAAAATTTGCTTGCTTGGTTACACAGAAATTCAATGACGAAAAAAAAATTCACATTATCAATTCAAAGTTAATAAGCAGTAAAGATTCGTTATAAAGATATATATGTTATGTTATAGAATGGAGACTTGAAAGTCATAGAATTAGACAGAATAATGGTGGGAAAAAATATGAACAAAAATAAAACAAAACAAAACAAAAAATGGTTGGGACTCACTGATTAACGAGATAAAACTTCCACTACCATGATGAATTGTTTCATGAGCATCATTACGGAGATCGAAAATTTTATGTTTACGATATTTTTTAAATGTATCCCATCCGGCATAATGTCTTGTACGATTATTACAATCACTAAATGATGATGATGATGACAATGATGGTTCAATTAATGAAATTGAATGTACCAACATTGATGATGATGATGATGATGATTGAGGTAAAAATTCTTTTTGTGATGAATGTAATGACAGTTTATCACCATCAATATCTTCATCATTTTTATCAATGTTTTTCGAATCAAAATCCGATTCATTTTTAATCTGTTCAACATTTTTAGAATCCATTATATTTTTGTTTCGATTATTATGTTTACGTCGTGGTGGTGCTTTTGGCATTTCCAATGATGATTTAAATTGTTCATTCAATTGATCATCTTCTTTCCTAATCATCTTTGGTGATTGTTCCAATGATGTTTTCATTTTTTCTTTTGATAATTCATTTTGGATTATTCCATCATCATCATCATTAACATCATCATTGAGATTATCATTATCGGCTATTGATGATTTCGATGAACATGTAAAAGATTTCGTATCCAATGATAATGATTGTTTAAGTAATGATGATTTTGATTCAGAATTAGAATCTTCTGAAGACGATAATCGTGATTCTGGACTAGACAGCTCTTTAATTATATTTTCAATTTCTTCATCACAATAACGATCTTTATAACTATTATTATTATCAAGAATTGTTGTTGAATCAATGGATTCACCATTATTTGGGTCCTGTTATATTGTTGTCGTTGTTGTCGTCGTTGTTATGGTTGACAAACAATGGTTGAATTTATATTCAGTATTTATTTTTTCAATTTTTTTTCAATTTTCATCCATAAAAAATCATTGAAATATATAGAATATTAATGTGATGTGTGATGCGATGATAAATTTCAAAATATGAATTGCGAAAAAAAATAGGGGAAAAAAATCAACATAAACGGGGTAAGAGAAAAAAAAATATGATGGCAAAATATAAATGTGAAATTGATACATTTTGATTATTCAAATAATATGCAAAAAAAAATATTGCATGTATAGAGACGTAAATGTGTATAACTGTAATACATGTATATGATGATGATGATGATGGAATAATATTGATGATAAAATGAATTGTAGAAATTCGTTTTTTTTTCTGGCCAAAACATGGCATTTATAAGTTTCACCAAAAACGCCCACACACAGAAGAATCATACTCCTTCTACTGTAATAAAATTTATATTTTTGTTTTGGCTTCATTCAAACACCAATCATCATTATCAAAAAAACATTGTCAAGAAAGACTTTCAAGAAATTCAATTCTTGTTCTTTTTTTTTTTTGCTATATTTAGTATTTAGTGTTTTTCGTACATACATTTCTAGGTTCATTTTTCTTTCTTGACAATTCTAGTGACGATATTTTTTTTCTTTGTTTCCCGTATTTAAGTAACATTTATTTGTTTTTTATTTTTCTTTTTTTGCTAAATTTATCTATGTAACCATCCGTCTTGTTATCTACTATGGTTAACTTGAAGAATAAATGAATGAATGAAACTGTTAAGCATATCGTGTTTTTTTTCTCTTCCTATTCTTATTCTCTGTATAATGGATTGGTCGAATGGTGAAAATGGACAATGGAATATATAATTTATACACACACATATATATAAATATATATAGAAATGTATGTGCAACCACATCAATGTCATCAAAACATCATGTGTTCAAGACAGAATAGAAAAAGAAAAACATCAATAGAAATAAAATGAAAACTAGGCTATTAATGTTAGAGAATAGAGAGAAAAAAAACGATACGATCAATAGCAATGATGATGATGATGATGATAATAATAATAATGGTAACAACAACAACAACAACAATTCTATCCAGAAAGGAAAAAAAATGATTCGGCGCAATTTATGTTTCATATTTTTTGAAACATCATCATCATCATCATCATCATTGTTCTATTCTATTGTTGTTGTACTAATTTTGTTGCATTAAGATTATTTGACAACTACTTGCTGCAAGTAGCCATTAATAATAATAATAATAATGTAGAATACAATGATAATGATGATGATGATAATCTTAGCAATACATGGACATACAATTGAGTTCATTCATTCACATTCACTTGATTCTAATATTTTTCATTGTATTATGCATTATGTATGTATGTATGTGTGTGCGTGTAGCTGATGATGATTCTTATTCTTATTCTTTTTTTTTGACAAGACATAAAAGAATAGAATAGAATCAAGTATTACATTTTGTTTTCAAAGAGTTTTCTTGTTAAGCACATGCCTAACAAGAGATATATATATTCAGAATTAAGAATTTTGTTTCATCAATCAATTAATGATGATAATAAATGTCAATATAATTATTTTCATCATCATCATCATTTTTTTTTGATTCCAAATGATCAAGTATTAAATCAAGCAAGCAAAATATTTTTTTTTTTTTGTTTATCCATCATTTGTAAATCTAGAAATGTTTTTGTTCAAAGAATTACTCACATTTTCATTGGTGATTGGTGAACGACAACGATCAACATCATTACGATGTTCATTATTATGATCACTTGATTCTTTTGAATGTGGTCCTGCAGATGTACAGCGTTTTGTTCTTGTTCTTTGATACGGATCACTTGTACCTTTTTTTAATTATTGGTAACAACAACAATGATTAGTTAATTAATTATTATCTCATTAGGCAATAATTGAAATCAATATCATATATATACCATAAAGTGATGCAGTGGAAACATTTAACACGATACTTTTTTGAACAAGATCAATGATGACTAAACTATTTTCGGTACCATATGCAAAACTGTAATAATAAAAATGTATAATTGAATAATTTCATTCAATCATGATTATACATACAGACTAGCGTGCATATTATAACTCATTGATGTTATTCGATATGGCGGTGTTTTACGATCAATCCAAGGACTAAGACAAATGACTTCGGCCTGAAAACCGGATAATCGTTTATGATGACCTGTGCGAGCTTTTAATGGATAATAAGCCATAGGATCATGTGTATCGGCTTTATGTAATAATGCCGAGGCACCAGATAAAATTTCGCTATCCGATTGTGGATCAATTTCATCATAATTCATTGGCACTTCAATAACCTAGATTGAATTTGATTCCAATCATTTATTCATTGATTAGAATGAAATGAAAAAAAAGAAAAAAAAAGAAATTAGAGAAGCGAAAAAAAAAGTTCCAAGTTATCTTCGAAATAACAACAACAAAAACAATCAAGTTGATTGAATTAAGCAATTGTATTGGTGGAATTTCCTTTCTTTCTGTGATTGTGCGAATGTGTGTGTGTGTGTGTGTGTGTGTGCATGTTAACCAACTTAACTGTTATTTCAGATTGAGCTTCTTGTTTGCTGAAACGGAATACAATCACTTGTGACGAAGCTCCTGCAACACATAGTACACGATTTTCAGCAGAAAATGTTAGAAATTCAATGGCAAATAAATCTTCCATTTCGGACGTTCCGTTATTATTTGTCGTATTGTTGTTGTTGTTGCTGTTGTTATTATTGTTGGAACCAACATTATTATTGTTGCTATTGTTATTATTTTGATTATTATTATTATTATTAGAACTTTGGCTGCTATTTATGAGTCTTGGCTTTTCAAATAATTTGGCTGTTTTTAGTTTATATAATATTTGCAAATTTACAGCCGATGCATCCCAGAATTTTAATGAACCATCAGCATGACTATTAAATATGTAAAGATAGATAGTATTAGATATTGAATAGTGAAAGAAAATGTTCATATTTTAAATCAAATGATGATGATAATCTTTGATCATTTATACTAGATTATTATTCTAGATAAATGAAAAAAAGGCAATAACTTACCCAGTGATTATAATCTCTGGATAGCTTACTGTTGAACTTCCCCATTCACCACCATTTATGGGCCAATCACGTTCCAACATACCACTACGTTTGTTTGATTTTTGTCCAACCGTATAAAATGCATGTATAAGATCAGGTGGACAATTTGCCAAATAATAACAATAGGTCACCGGTGATTCATGTAAATCCATTGGATATGGATTCGTAAAACAAGGATAACTGTCGTTGATTTTTTTTTGTATATATATAGACATGAAAACAATTGAATAGAATAATTGAAAAAAAAATTATTGTCATAGTAACGTTGTTGGACAAAAAAAAAGAAGAAGAAAGAGAAAAAAAACAATTTGGAAACTAACCCAGGTTGTTGAAGATTAACTACCACTAGATCATTGCTAAGTAAAACAACTATGGCATATGGATCATTAAAATCAGCTTCATAAGGCGATTCACACAAGGTTATAAAATCAATGATATCATGTTCCATTTCCAAAACTGTTGTTGATTTGCCATGAATTACAGTCAATACTTGTTTAGTATTGGCACTATCACTACCACCAACACCACCACCACCACCACCATTGCCAACAATAAGACCACCGGAAAACATAATATAAGCATCACCAGTACGTGATGTACGCCATTCAACTTTTGGTATTTTCGAACATAGTTCGGATTTTGGATCACCTGATTTGGCTGATTTTTTTTTTGCCATTAATAAAAAAAAGCAAATGTTAATGAATAATTGAATATTAGAAATGAGAAAAATTTTTTTTTTTTTTTTTTTTGCACAAACCATGTGGAAAGATTGATGATTGAGGCCTAGAACCGGCTTTAAGGTTCCATGTACTAAGACTACCATCAGCATGGCTACAAATAAATTGTCTACCTTCACTATGCCATGAAATGGATAGTATTCCTTCCGGATAATTATGACGAAAATCGGCACTTTTATTACGTAAATCCCATAAAACAATACTACCGGATTCATATCCAATTAATAGCTATTTGTATGATAATGATGATCAAATATTCAATAAATTATTTATCAATCAATCATTTTTTGCTGTTGTTGTTATGATGATAATCGTGCTTACCTTATTTGAATCAATTGGACAATCGCTTAGATGAATGATTGAACCAGGATGTGTTTTACGAGATCTTTATCATTATGCAGACAAACAAACAAACAAACAAAAAGTGAAAAGATCAATAAATCAATCAATCAGTCTTTTAAGAATATATATGCAATTATTATAACAAACATTTCGATTGCTTTATTCCAATTTATAACATAACCAGACATGGCAAATGTGTCGATATTGACAACATAAACATTGCCTCTTTCTGTACCAATATACATCCATTTACTTTGAAATGCTAGATGGCAATAAGAAATCCTAATGATATACAAATGAAAGATTATTGAAAAATTTTTGCAAATCAATACCAAAATATCAATATAATCAATAATAATAATAATAATAATACCTTTCTTTTTGAAACTTGAGTGAATGGACAATTTCTGGTGATTTATTACGTAGATTCCAAAGATGAATACTATCATCGGCACAAACGGTTATTAATTGGCCCTAAATTTCATAGATATCATCATCATCATCATCATTAATTATAAACGAATGTAGAAAAGAGAAAGAGAAAAAAATTTCACTGTTAATTAAAATCAACAATCAAAAAGGCGACAAAAAAAAAATAACAATCTGTGTGTGTGTGCGTCTTTATCGAATGTACTATGTGAATGGATCGATCATCATTATTATTAGCGTTTATATTTATAAACATTCCAGAATCGAAAAGATGAACATCATTGTTTCATGAATCATGATGATGAAAAAACAAAAACAAAACAAAAAAAAATTCTTGACCTGATAATATAATTGGTTATACTTGTTGTTGTTGTTAAATGATTATAATAAAAAATTAAACCGATTCTCTGACATTATTATATGGATATCATATCATGGCCATCGCGTGTGTCATATTTGGAATGCACATCATCTCTCTCTCTCTCTCTCTCTCTATTCTGTTGGTTTAATTCATTAATTTTTCTCGTTAAATTTTTTTTCCTGTGCAAGAGAAAATTCGTTTTGACTACTTAGCCGTTGTTTTTTGTTTGTCAAAGCTAATCAAATAAAAAAAAACTAATATGAATATTTTCATACAAGGGCCACACACACACACACACACGAATGCACAATTTTTTGAGGTTATTCTTTTTCTATTCTTAATCACGAAATCTTTGGCCATGATGGATTTCAGTTTATCCCCAAAAACGCACCAGTGTTTGTGTGCGTGTGTGTGTGTGTGTGGGAATCATGTTATCATTATTATTCCAAATGGATCTTTCAATCATTTTTTTTCGTTTTGTTGGATTTACCACTATTTATAGAAAAGAATCCTCTCATGTTCACTATTTTAGTATTTTTTTTACAATTTAAATGTTATACATTATAAATTTACCTCATTAATAATGAAAATGATTTGCAATACAGCAAATTCGGTTACATGACGAAGACTGATGTCGACTCCTGGACGTCCCAGACTTTTGTTGTTATTCATTTTGATTGGAATTTGATAAGATTCACACCAAAAATGTAGACGATGGATGTCAATCATTGTGTTTATGAGAAATGAAAATGAGAAAAATGAAAAATACGATAAATAAATTATTGAAACTTTAAACAGGAATTTCTTTTCTTTTTTTTCTATTTTTATTTTATTTTTAGTTCAAACATTGAATTTGAATCATCAATAATCATGATGATGAATACTGTGATAGTGGTGTCATTGTGAACTTTTCTGGATTCATCATCATCATCATCGTTTTTTCTTGTTTTGTTCTAGGTAATACATTATTAGATAAATAGATGAGATTTTGTTTCGGTTTTGGTTGAACAAATTGGAAAGAAAAGTTTTCATCAAACTAGTGTGTTTTCTCATTCCTATGAAATTTTTTTTTGTTGTTGTTCTTGTTTGTTTCATTTTGACTTACATCCGTAGTGAACCATTTTTCGATCCAATTGCAATTAACCGTTGTATTGGATCGAATGCAATCGATGTAGGCTGATATGGGAAACCATGTTGAACAATCTACAAATTATTTAGGAAAAAAAAGAACAAGAAGAATAAAGAATGATGATACAAGATTAGTAGGTGAATTTATTTATAGAATATGTGTGTAATGTATATCAGATTTCTTGTTTGAACAAATAAACGAAACAAAAAAAGTTTTCAATAAAACGATTGATAAATGGTGAATATGTAATCGATTTCTTTTCGAAATTTTAGAAATATCAAATATTTAGTGAACAATAGAATAAGAATTAGATGTGTAAAGCATGGTGATTATTCCGATTTGAATTTCATTTTAATGATAATTCTGTTATTATGATGACGATAAAGAAGGGTGCTTGCGTGTGTATGGGTGTGTGTGTGTGGGTGTTTGTTTATGCCAGTCTAGACAATGAAAATTCTACTATTCATCATCATCATTATAATCATGATGGAAGAAAAAAAAAGAAATAAAATTCTGTTGAACATAAATATGTGATCATGGTGATCATCACGAACCATTAATGAATGAAATTGTATGGATGAAAAAATTTTTTTTTCTTTACTCTTTTTTCAGTCTAGATATATATAAAATATATATTCTTGTATTCGGTCGGTTATAGTATTTCTTGGCATTTTCCAAGTAAAAAAGGAAAAAAAAATCCAACTTGTTCTTTGAATGTTTTCTTTTTTTTTCATCTAATCTAAGTTTTCATTTAATTTCGTAAGAAAATGCTAACCCTTTTCAATTTCATTAAATTACAGTGAACAAGCATGAATTAACAAATTCGCCATAGTAACACACACACACAAGGATTTTTTTACCTTTCATTGAATTCTCTATAATTTCTTCTTCATTTTTTTTTCATTATAAAAATTAATCCCATTTCATACAAACTTGTTTGTTTTACATACAGAATAATGATGATTTGTCACCATAAGAAAGTGTTCAAATAATGATAATTTCATAAATCGAGTAACTGATGCTTTGTATATATATATGAACATTATGTAGAAATAAAATTACCAAGTAAAAAAAAAAATAAGTGAGAAAATGAATTCATCACCATCATCATCATAATCCGTGTGTTTCAACACTGGCAATTTTATGTGCAATGTAAGTGTGTGTGTGTGTGTGTGAGTCTGGTTCCAGTTATAGAATACAAAGGATGTATTTGATTTTTTATTTTCATTTTTCTGCTTCTTGTTTATTTTCAAGTTTGGACAAAAAAAAAAATTAATTTTGTATGCAAATATCGTGTGTTTGTGTGTGTGTGTGTGCGTTTAGCACCGTTTATTATTATTATTCGTTATTCTTGCTGTAAATGTAAAATAAAAAAAAATAACGTATATCTGAAATCAACAGAAAATTCATACAACTTTTTCAGCATAAAGTTTTTTTTATTTTGCCATCATCACAACTTCTGGTTTCTTCTCATGCACAGTTTCCTGTATATTTATTGGGCCCGGTCGAAGAAAAAATTTTTTTATTCTTCATCCAACGAAAAAAAACAGAGACACCTGTACATTTTTTTTCGGTTTTTTGCTATGGCCATGGGTAAAAAGACTTGAATGCTTAACCAGTGCTCTCTCTCTCTCTCTCTCTCTCTCTTTACCATTACTTAATATTCTCGTTAACAGAATTTTTTTCTTCTTCTCCATAACGACCATGATGATGATGATGATGATGATTATGAGCATTCAACCAGAAAATGTTCAAACAACATCATTTTACGTATACAGAAAAAAAACAACATTTATCTATATAAAACAAAAAAACAAAAAAAAACAAAATTTCATCGCATCATTTCATCAATGTTGTTGTTGAATATTTTCTATTTTAACCTGGTTTGTTACATTCAATTTTACATACACACATTATTTGAAAAAAGGAGATAAAACCAGAAAATAAAATAAAACAAACAAACAAAGAAAAAACATAACTAACTGCTATTTTTCCGCATCCGTTAACTACAATGATGATGATGATGATGATGATGGGCAATGGAAAGGAATTTGGAAAAAAAATTCATATTTTTTTGTCTTGAAAAAAAATTCTTACCAAAAAAAGTGTCACTATAGTGTTGTTATTATGGGTGCGAGAGAGAAATAAAAAAACAATTTACAAAAAAAAAAAAAAAACATCAACCAGGAAAAAAATATCATCATACAAATGGTGTACAAGGATTTTCAGCATTTTGTTTTTTTTTTGAACCAATAATAAAGTCCATCCATTCATTTCAGTGAGTGAAATTCATACCTGATGTGTGAAAGAATGTCAGAATAAAAAAAAATGTCAGGCCTCATTTTCTCGTTCATAAATAACACACGAACAAGTAGAAAATTTTTTTTTTTTTTGATTTTATTTTGACTTTTCATTTCATTTCTGTCTTTTTTTTCTGGTGAAATGAGAGAAAACATGACTATTTAAGTATCAACAATTTTTTTTAATGTAGTGGAAAAAAAATCACATAATTTTTTGTTTCATTCGTAAATGTCAATGAATGAATGAATGAAAAAAATCCAATTGACATTTCGAAATTCTCAAAGGTAAATTGTATTTGCGTGTGTGTGTGTGTGTGTGAGTGAAGGGAAAAGAAATTACATTTGACCGGAAAATATTCATATAACAACAACGATACATGAATATCAAACATTTGGCCATTTGTAATAATTTTTTTCGGTTTATTTTTTCGATTTTTTCCAATCTTTTCCGAACCAAAAGTAAATTTTTAATGGTTACAATATTGAAATTAATAGATTTATATATAAATATCCAATATCAATGAAAAAAAAATGTTTCTACAAAACGACAACCAAATCATATTAAAATGGAATTCATATATTTCGATTTATTCAAAATTCATGTCAAGTATCAGATCTATTTTTTTGGTGGTAAATGAAGATGATTTTTTTTTTGTTAACCAAAAAACACCCATACACTCATTATATATAGACAAAATATTGAATTGAAATTTTATCATATTCATATTCAGTCATGGTCTAATGGGGAGAAAAACCATTGACATTATTATTATGATTATTATTTCGTCATTATGTTATTTGGGTGTTTATAATTAAAATGAACGAATTGATGATTAATTGGGAGTGAAAGAAAATTATTATTCATTAAATTATGTGGATAATAAAAACCTTGAAGCAAGAAAAAAAAATGTCATTACAGTTTTTTCTTTTGGTTCAAGCGATAGATGATGATTTTTTTCTATTTTCTTTTCATTTTTTGTTTGATGATGATGATGATGATGATGATGCCCAATAGGCAAAAGTTTATGATCTCAATGAAAAAATGAGAGTAACAAAAAAAACCAAACTTCAATCTATAAAAAATCAGGTGAATTGATTTTTCATGTGAAACATGATTTTGTATATGTATATCAAACAAAATAATGAATGTGGCAACGAAAAAATTAGTCCTGGAATCATAGAAAATCTTTTCAAGCTTTGCTAATTGATTTTTTTTGGTTCCAGTTGGTTGTAAGAGAAAAAAAAAACATACATTCAACAAAGTAAACACACAAAAAAAATCTTTTTGTGAATAATCATTCAATCGTGATCAAGAATGATGTGGCCATTATTGATTCAAAACCTTTTATTCTATTGAATTTTTTTTTAAATTCTTCGCCCACCAAAGCAATGATGTATGGTGATTTTATATTATGGTAGTAGTGTGACAATATTTTTATCAAGATTTTTTTTCCAAAAAAACAAACAATTTCTATGGCCTGACCACATCTACTGACATGGATCATATCATAAAGAAAAACATATCAAAACAACAAAATAAAATAACAAGATTCATGTGACACACACACACACACACAGTCGGGATTCTAAACAAGCATATATACAAGCGGAAAAAAAGTTGAAATTTGTACGATACAAGCTTCTCAAATATGTATAAAATGATGATGATGGACAAGATGATGGCAAACAATATTATATGTTGTAATAATAATAATAATAATGATAGTCTCAGCAGAAATGAACCAAACGAAAAAAAAAATCCAGCTGAGAAGCTAATGATCGAACAATAATCGCTTGACCGCATAAACTACAAACACACACACAAAAAAATGAAGCAAGAATAAGAATAAGAAAATTCATTCATTCATTTCTATCCAAATTCTGATTCAATCATTAGCAAGATCGGTTATATAAAATTTTTTTTCCCTACTCGTCATTTTATTCTTTGTATTCTAGATTTTTATTCTGAAAAGTGAAAAATTTCAACCAATAGCATTATCCACTGAGAAAACATTACAATTGGATGGCATTGGTATTATTTCATTCAATTTGGAAATGATTGTTTCGTGTTTTCGGCACAGTTACACACAATCCTGGAATACATATGATGACAACAATAATTGTCTGCGTGTGTGAGTATCATAAGTCAAAAAAAGAGAATTTTTTTCCACATTTTAAAGTTTGTATATTGTTTCTTTGATTCTTTGCGTTTTTAGCAATGATGACAGCAAAAAAATAAATAAAATTCCTTAGTATATAAATCGTATTGTGTTGTGTTGTGTTGTTTTTTTTTCTCACAGTCACACCAACAAACAAACAAACAGAAAAAAAACCAAATCAATTAAATTGATATTCGTTTATTCGAACATTGGTGTTTTTTTTGTATATGATGACGAGAAGGAATGGGGAGCCAAAAAAAAAATGTCATCCACATCACATTTTCATTCGACGATAACGATGATGATGAAATATGAATCCATGATCCATGAAATGGTAAAGTGAATACCAAACAAAAAGAGTAAAAAAACAGGATGAATTTTTGATGGGAAGAGTGGGGGGAGGGGATGGTCCAAACAAAATATCAATAACGAAATTGATCGATGAAAAAAAAACATGAATAAAATTCGCATATATAGAATTATAGAATTCATATATGATTCTATGATCCATTATTATTATTATTTTCTATTATTTTGATTTTTTTTTATCATCATCATCATCATCATCATCAATTGTTATTGCATTCATTTCATTTTTATTTAATAACAGAATTT